ATTACAATGAGCTGCAAAGACATTCAGTTGCGGCTTCTGGACCAGCAGGGTAGAAGTGACGAATGCTGAATATAGCAGTGATTATTTTTCATTCTATCTAATGAAAGTCATCTACTATTAAAAAAATGGAGGAAAATCAAGAAAGGGACACTCAAGACAAATTGATCTAAACTAAATCATTTGAAATTGCATGAACGAATAATCTTGATGAGATGATAATCAATTTGACTATAAATTTATGACAATGAAACTTATTTGATCCTTGAAATAAAACATGAAACTATTGGGTAATATTTTTAGAATTCTATTCAGTCTTTATTCTCTTTCATCTAATTGAGTAATATTTTCTTCTCAGAAACTGTTGGGAATTTATTTTCTCAGATTTGATGGATAACAGCTGAATATCAAAACCTAAATGGAGAAGTGACTATCTTAAAGGTGTTGATAATTTTTTTGAATTTGCAATTCCAAGTCAAAATTCGGCATAAAAAATTTTATGACCATGCAAATTATGCATTAACATATATTTTCACTATGTAAAATATGTTAAGTTTCATTTACTCTCTAAAGGATTTTTTCCCAAATAAGTTGTTTGGAATCGACATGGAGAGGAACATGCTTTTGTAATTGATGTAACAAGATTAGAAATAATTAGTGATACTTCTAATGTTAATGAAGTACAAATTCAAGAAGAGCAACCAAGACCTAATGATATAGAAGGATTGTTAAGGGACACATTCTACTCAGACAATGTCAGTTTAGATATTGAACTTAATGAAAGCAACGTAGATCTGACAAATGATAGTGCGAAGAAATTTCAGGATTTATTACTGGAAGTATGAGCACAATTATACCATGGCTGTTAGTCATTCAAGAAGTTATCATTGATCTTACATTTATTTTGACTAAAGTGATTACACTCTTGGTCTGCACGATCTTTTGATCAATTGATTGAAGCTTTCCTTGATGGTTCATTACTACCTAAGAATACATATGAAGTGAAGAAGATTATGAAAGTGATCGATCTTGGATATACAAAGATAGATGAATGTCCAGATGATTGTTGTCTATTTTGGAAATATAGATTCAATCAAGTGGTATGCCATATTTATGGTTCTTCATGGTAGGCAAGTGCTAAAAAAAGTTCAAATGGAGGAAGAAAAAGCAAAGGAAGTCTGCCAAGGTTGTTCGTTACTTCCATTGATTTCTATAGGTTTCAAAGAATATTTAAAAAAAAAATGTACCGAAGAGATAATTTGGCATACCAAACAGAGAAATATATATGGATTGTTACGGCATCCAGCTGATGGAGAAACCTTGAAATCCTTTAACTATATATATCCTAATTTTTCTTTAGATCCATGTAATGTTTGTCTCGCATTAGCAAGTGATGATTTTAATCTATTTAAGATTATGAGTAGTACATACAACATTTGGCCTGTACTTTTGATTTCATACAACATGCCTCCTTGGATTGCAATGAAACAATCATCTTTCATTCTGTCTACTTTTATATCAGGGGAGAAGAGTCCGGGAAATAATATTGATGTTTATCTCCAACCGCTAATATATGAGTTGTGTGAATTATGGCATCCTATGATGCAGCCTTTGGACAATCTTTTAACTTACGAGCTACATTATTGTGGACAATCAATGATTTTTCTGCTTATGGTATGCTTTCTAGTTGGAGCACTAAATGTAGATTTCCTTGTCCTTGTTGTGTCGAAAATACATAGTCTTTGTGGTTATATAGAGGGAAGAAATTCTAGCTCATATATGGGTCATCATCATTGGTTACCAAAGAATCACTTATTTTGCCAACATAAATAGTACTTCAATAACATAGAGGTGATTTGTAAAGCACCTACAAGAAATACTGGTAGTGACATTTTATAACAATTACAAAATGCGCATTTTTCTTTGGGAAAATTAAGAAGCTTAAAAGGAAGATGTAATGCAGAAATAACTGAACATCAAATTTTGAAGAACAAATCAATTTTCTTTATAATGCCTCATTGGGAGTATAATTTACTACCACACAATCTTGATGTCATGTATATTAAAAAAATATATGTGATAATTTCATTGGTACTTTACTTAATCTTGATAAATCTAAAGATAACTTGCAAGAACGACAAGATTTGATAGATATTGGAATCAAGTGTGAGATGCATCCATAAAGTCTTATAGATGGTTCTTATTTTTTGCCCCCAACTTGCTTTACAATGTCAAAAAGGAGAAGTTGATGTTATGTGAAGTTTTGAAATATTTAAAAATGCTAAAAGGTTATGCATCTAATATTACAAGGTGTGTTAATGTTACTGAATGTAAGATTGTGGGTTTTAAAAGCCATGTTTGTCATGTGCTTATTGAAGAAATTCTACCAATTGCTTTAAGGTCATGATCCTCTTCTGATGAAATTATACATATTGTTGTGGAGATATCAAAATTTTTGAAGTCATTTTGTTCCAAGGTTATCAATCCGAATGAGTTGGATATGCTACAAAATAACATTGTAATAATATTATGTAAAATGGAAAGATCAATGCTCTCATTATTCTTCACGATCATGATCCATCTACTTATTCATTTGGCCGAGAAAGTAAAATTAGGTGGTCCAGTTCAGTATAGATGGATGTATCCATTAGAGAGGTAATTCAGTAGTAGTTATTCATTAATATTAATAGTATTCATATTTATATAAGTTTCTTAATGGTTTTTATTACTTTCAGATTTTTCTTGGTTTGAAAGACTGTAGCTAACAAAGCACAACCTCAAGGTTCTTTTGCGGAGGGTTATATTGCTGAAGAAGGGATATCTTTCTGTTCTAAATATCTGGATTGATCTCAATTTTTGATCAATTTTTGAATAAGACTGCAATAACTGAGGAAATTTTTTTTTTTTTAAGTTTTCAAGTGGTGGTACTCCATTCAACTTAGATGATAATTCATTCATTCAGGCACATCGATATGTCCTTCGACATTATTTTAATCTTGAATGCTATAGACAATGTTTCAAGGATGAAGAGAAGAGAAAGTGACGTGGGCATACACATCTAATAATATCAGATTTTGAGAGACTTAACAATGAAAGATTTCACGAGTGGTTGCGTGTCACAGTAAGCGCGCTATAGTACTTTATATTTTTTAGACTTCATAAATGGCATTAAAGTGGACTTCATAAATGACATTAAATTTTGTATTCCTTGCTAGGTTTCAAGATCAATTGATATGCTAATCTTCGAAGAAATTAAAGCACTAGCTAAGGGTCCCAAAAAAATTGCATATATATACAAGGGTCTTCTCATTAATAGTTATATTTTCCATACAAAAGAATGAGATGAAGGCAAAAATACATAGAATTTTGGTGTTGTTAATACAACAGAGATTGAGAACTTTAGTTATTATGGAAATATTAATGATATCATTGAAATTAATTACTCTAACATATTCAATGTGATATTATTTAGATGTGATATGGCAAATACAAGTTTAACGAGCTTACAATAAGATGAATTTGGTTATACTAGTGTGAACTTCTTAAGGTTTATTCATACGAGTCAAAAACTTCAAGATGATCCTTTTGTTTTCTCTTCACAAGTGGAACCTGCATTCTATATTCAAGATGCCAAAAATATGAATTGGAATTATATTGTAAGAGTTAAACTATGAGATGCAATTGATTGTAAGTCTTTAATATATTGCACTTTATATATTGTTATTTATATATTGTTCTTTATATGTTTTTCTTTATATGTTGTTCTTTGTATAGTGTTCTTTATATATTATTTTTTATATATTGTTCTTTATATTTGCTCTTTATATATTACTATTTGTATATTGTTTTTTATTTGTTGTTTTATGTTAATGCTAAACACTTCATTTTTTTCTTTGCATGAAATAACAGGAGATAGTCTTTTCAAACGAGCAAAGAAGGCAATATGCAGAGGTGAATCAAGTGGAGGAGGATCAAGTAGAGAACAAAGTAGTAGGGAGATTGAAACCCCTTCTACTCCAGTACACCCAAATTCATAAGAAGAGTTTGAGGACAGTAGGACCCATGAGACTGAAGAGGGGGTATAGCTCATAAGTATTATTTTCTTTTTATGACATTCATTTTATTTCAAATTTATTATGATATTCATGCTTATTCATTTATTTTAAATTGCATAGATGAGCAAGGGGATCCTATTAGGCGTAGGGGGCGAAAAACATGTGATGATATTCAGAATATGCCGCAAGGGACATGAATTCATATAGATGTAAATGAAAATAACTTATCTTATAACATCTATGAGTCAATTTTTCTAGGAACATATCTTGGTGTAGTCACAAGAGATCCTATTTTGGCTCAAATAGCCTTTCCTAATTAAAGAAATAAGGGTTTGGAGTCCTTCAAAAAAAAGATGTTGGCTGAAGTTGAGGTATATATATTTCACTAAAATTTTAATTTTTTTTTTCAATTTTATATCATTAACCATATCACATTTTCAAACTCAGTCAAAATATGAGTTTCCCGGTCATATACGCCATTGGATTCTTCAATCCCTTGGTGTTAAATGGCGTAATTTAAAAACCAATTTAAAGTTTGAGCATTGGGATAGTAAACTAAATGATAAAATTATGAAGACTATTTCAGCTGGAGTTGATCAAATGCAATGGTGCCAACTTGTTAACTAATGGTCAAAGCTAGAGGACCAGGTAAATATTGAGATTAAGCTTTTTTTGTTAAAATATTTTAAAAGTGATAATTTAAAATTATCATGTATCATAGAAAATGGCTACTAAAAAATCCTTGAATGCCAAAAAATAAACTTGTCCTCACACAATGGGTCGTGTGAGCTGAGTTCGGAGATAGAAGGAAATGGTATGAATTTAAATGTTTAATTATAACAATTAAATGCTTGATTTACAAACTTAATTTTTTATTAGAAATTTTTAAAAATCTATTAAGGATAGATTAAAATTATGGAAAATCAATATAATTCATAAATATGGGACCTGGTCATCTGAAGATGCTATGCAACGATGGGTAAATTTAAATAGTGATTCTAAATTATTTTTTATTCTGCTGTTAAAGCAACTAGTACGAAATGTTCGGTTGCGTGGGTTGGTCACACCGTCTACATAAGGATGCACATAATCAAGCTTGAAGGACAGATCATCCTAGACAATCAACAACATAAAATTATTAATAGAGTGAATAAGAATTTATAGATGGTTATTATAGCAATATCATGAACGATAAACAAATTGTCATGTGCTGATCATAGGTTTTAAGCCATCTCAATTCCTTGGATTCAGAAATCATCCATGCGCACATTACTTGCATATAGAAACATATGAAACTTCTATGGCGCAACTTGCAAGGACCCGTTAAGAAATGATAAAAACGTACTGGACAAGCTGTTAGTGAAATCAATGAACGAAAAACATAGGAATTAATTATTTGTGGTGTAGAGAAGTTTTTATTAATGATCTACTAATAGAAGTGGGAAACAGAAAATCACTGAGTTTGGTGCATTGGCTGCAAATAAGGATCAGCAAAGAAAGAAAAAAGTGCAACCGAGGGTTTATGCCATGGCTCATCCGAAAGTCAAGGAATCTATTAATGTTGATATGGGTATAACTCCCATTCAAGATAAGCTTCTTAGAGCACTGTTATTAAGGGTGCATAGAATTATTTTGTCAATAGAGATTGTGTTGGAACTTCTTCTTTTGATACATCAAATACGTACTCTACACTATTAAAACACTTATGCCTAATGGATCCCAATTTAAATTATTATATTATATCATATATTAAGAGTTAACAATGTTTATATGAAAAGAAAACAAAAATAAGGTCATGTTCAAGTGTTAAACTTAGTATCAGGGACTCCAAAGTTTATTTGAATATAAGATTCCAATGTATGTGTCCCTGTGGCAGTATAAGTAAACTTAATGAAACACGATGCACCATGTGCTTCACTTCACATCTCTCTGTTGTGCAAATCATTGCAGCTACTGCTGAAGCTTGCACATATTAATATTTTTACTGCAGCGTAGCCCAATCATTCAAAACATCTTGGTGCGAACCTCATATATTTTGAACCGAATAATATCGTCTTCTGACACAAACTAGCTTCATTCTTTAATAGTAACTTCACACCATTTTATCATATGCTTCTAATTCTCCCAGTACTTATATGCACAATCCCACTAACTTCGCACTAGGTTCACTGAACGTGTGTTCTTCTTCCATTAATGCAATCATGCGATTATGTGCATTCTTTGTAAAGAGCTGCCATTTGATATATTATACCCTATAATTTCAGTTCTGAAGAATATAAGCAATCAATTTTTAGTAAATTTTGCGTGCTTGGATATTCCCAATTTAATTTAAACCCATGTAAAACAACAAATTATCACTATAATTAAGTAAAACAGGCTTCACTGATATTTCTACACATGACGCCAGCTTATGCGACAATTTAGAGGTGTACCCAACACATATTTTACTTATTTCTTGATTTCTTAGAATCACTTATGCAAATAAAAACATAGTTTCCTAACAGGTGAAGTTAACATATCATCTACAGAATGCTTCAAATATCCAATGAAAGCACCAGCATAATGTAGAAACACATTACTGCTCAACTTCTTTATTCCACTAAACAGCAAGGCAGACAAGTTAGCGTGACTTAGAAAAACATAATATAAATGAAAATGCTTTCCTTGATACATTATGAAGTCCGCACGCAAATCTTCATTGCTCTTTCGTATGTTAAATAAACAGTGAAACAGAGGAGTTCCAGCACCTCGTTACTCAGAAATCAGAAATATGAACAAGATACCTTAAAGTGTTTTCTATTTTTTCAAGCACATGAAATAATAAAATAAACTAAGTTTTGCAAACAAAAGTTAATCAATATTTGAGAGAACAACAATAATTTGATTAAACATGATATGATACCTGAGGGTTTAGAAGATTGCTTGATGTCACAGAACCTATTATGGATCTATTAAGCCCTTTGATGTTCCTATGTTCAAAGGTCACTGTTCCACCAGGTTGAATAGACGCCTAAAATTACGAACATTCAGATGTATGTGAGAACACACAAAATGTACTATAATTGACTTTTAATACACCAACTGAGCAGGAGTAAGGAATGACAAGAAGAAAGAAATTTCAGTTTAAGAGCATGCAACACATAAGTCAGTCATCAAGAATACCAATGTTGGTCGCCCATTCCGTCCAGGTACAATATTCCACTCAGTACTAACTTCGGCAGATTTCTGTTCCAACTCTTTAAGCTTGATTTCAACTATAATTCCTCCTTCATTCTTTTCATCAGGTCTTGGATTCACCTCAATGTTGGAAAACAGAGCAAGTGAATTTATGTTCCTCAAAGCTTGCTTACCTGCCTCAATATTGAAAACATGCCCTGGCCGTAGCTGTAACAAGTTTAACCATCAAAAGGTATTCATGGAAGTTCAAAACACAGGAACAAAGATTACACTAGTAATTGAAAAATAATAATAATAATAATAATGCAATAAATCTCCAGAAGGCTAAATAAATATTCCTAGGCAATCAGAGCAAATAACAATTCATAAATTGAATCAAAAGATTCTCATGGGCCTTTCTAGGGCCTTCTAAGCCATGCAATCACGGTGAAAACACGCCATAGCTTGCTATTTATAGAGGATCAGTTTAGAATTTCAGAATATGGGAAATAAGAGGTATGAATGAGGACCAAAAAGCATGAAAGTTGTTGGTTTCAAAGATGATATAGCAAAGCCCCAGCTCAGCAAGCTATCACAACTCCGTCAAGTCCATCTCCGACTTTTCCCACCCCTTCATCTGTTACAAGGCAATTATAAGGCTGACCAATTCTTATCTGTGGGTAAAAGGATGATGAGAAAGGACATATTTTCAATATCATTGTCAAACCTAGCTTTTCTTCTTAATCAATACCACTTCATCCAAGGAGGTCTAGCATGCTAGTCTGATCTGTTTGAACAATCAACGTGGTTCTTGTGCTATCTCAAATCATCTCAAAAAGTTGTTTGTCTTACAATTCAGGCGCTCCAAAGCATCGACAATAAAGACAGAAATTTATTCCAGCTTCAATGGAACATATTATGTAGAAAAGCTAATTTAAATTTTATTACATCATTATGCACAAAGTGTGAAATTACATACAAACTTCTGTAAAATTCTTTCGATGAAAATAAATCAAAACTATTTAAAAAAACAATCTCCGCCAAGGGCCGGAAACTTAAAGAGGAAGAGAAGGTACACCAATTGTAACCTAAAGATTATAAGAGGATCGATCCAATGGTTAGAACCTTTAATCCATGTGCTCAATGATGTCCAACAAGATTACTTGACTTGTGGGTCCCACGATCATTCAACACTCCCCTTCAAACTCTCCTTCAAACTGAATGGTATGATTCTACCATTCCAATTTTACTTACAATATTTTTGAATGTAAGGTTGTAGAGTCCTTTAATGAGAATATTTACATGTGGATGTCCTTTTGGCACATATGACTGCAAATCAACATACTTTTTATTCTCTTTTATGAAATATCTATCAAACTCCACATGCTTGATAAAATCATGAATGCTGATGGCAAATTTATTTTCACAATATATCTTTATTGACCTTTCTCATTTATTTTTTAAATCTTCTAAAATGATTTTGATCCACCAAAGTTCATAGATTTTTTGGGCAACAATTCTAAACTCATATTTAATGTTGGATCTTGAAACAACGTGCACATTCTTGATAAATCTAGTTTTGAATTTTTTTTACATGTTAATGTACTATTGGCACATATGACTATAAATCAACGCACTTGTTATTTTCTCTTTTATGACATATCTATCAAACTCCACATGCTTCATAAAATCATTTTGTACAAGATTATGAACAATGCTGATGGCAAAATTATTTTCACAATAAATCTTTATTGATCTTTCTCATTTAATTTTTATATCTTCTAAAATGATTTTGCTCCACCAAAGTTCATAGATTTTGGACAATAGTTCTAAATTCATATATAATGTTGGATCTTGAAACAATGTGCTCTTACTCCTCCATTTATAAGATTTTCTGATGTAAAACCACATACAAAAGGAGCTTGATAAGAAATTTAAGAATAATTGAGACTAAAATGCCCCTTGGGCTACAATAGCGACCAAATACCCATAAGGGTAAAAATAGAAAAAATAAAAATAAAATAAACTACTACATAAAATGACTTAAAATAAAACTTCTGATCGTGGCCGTCGATCTCCGGTGTCTCCGATGGTACACGTGTCGAAATTGCTGACGATGTCCTCATCATTTTCCCTAAAAATATACATTAAAACTATTGAGGATCTTCTATTTACCTGTGATTCAATATAATCTGCATCAAAATACCCTTCAATTTGTAAAGTATTATACTTTTCTAGAGAATTCTTTTATCATGACTGATTTAACATATCTGAAAATTAAATATAAGCACCTTAAGGGTGAGACCATTTTGGTTTGTGCATAAATTGACTGATGAGACTCATTGCAAATGTAATGTCTAGATGTCTGTGAGATAGAATTTTTTTCAACTAATCTTAATATTGTCCGATGTACACTACTTTTTTCTTCTTCACCTAAGTCCAATTTTTTCAGATGAGGTTTCACAAGGTTTGTAATTAGTCATTTTTATTTTTTTAGTATGTCCATGATATAATTTTGTTGATAAAGAAGTATTTCTTATTCTGATTGCGCAACTTCTATTCACAAGAAGTATTTGAATTTACCCAACTCTTTAATTTAAAATTATTTAGCAATATTTTCCAAGAGAAACTCATTTTAGCTATTTTCATCGTCTGTGATAATTATATCATTAATATATAGGCAGAGAATTCATATTTATCATCAATGTAGTGTTTAATGAAGTGGGTACGATCTCCTTGGCTTTATTTGTATCTAGCTTTATTTATAACTAGTGAGAATCTATCAAACTATTCTCTCAAAGACTATTTAAGGCCATATAAAGCCATTTTTTATTTGCACATTTTGTTATTTGAAAATATTAATAATATTATTGTTAATATTTATTTAAAAATAAATAATAAATTAATTAAATTAATTAACAATATTTAATTCACTCCTTATTTAAAAAGATAGATGAAAAAAATGAGTGGTTTTGTTTTGCTTTAATCAAGCTCCATCATGACAGATGAAGAAAAAAAATTTAATTCACTCCTTGCTCCACCGTGACAGTTTTACTTTAATCATTTCCCCTTTTTGGATAGCCCACTCGCCTTGCTCTCTATCCTCCGTGGCATGCATCAGCAAAACTAAAAAAAGTGAGAAGTTTAGTCTCACACCGCCTTGCTCTCTCTCCTTCATGTAGCATTTACTATTTAGCAGGCAACGAGGGATGGGTTGTTCGTTGGCTTGTTGTTGGTCCGTAAGCTACTTGATTAAGATATTTTATTTCGTTAAACGAGCAACTCATTAATAGGCTCGACAAGCCTAAAATGAATTGAGCTCAAACATGAACACAAGCTGAGCTCGCACAGATGTTTTCTAGACGAGCTCAAACTCGAACATAGACAAGAAAATTTTTGAATCTTATCAAGCCGAGCTCGAACAAGGTCTTGACAAACGAGCTCAATCTCGAAATGCCGAAGCTCGATTCAGCTCAGTTCGTTTACAGCCCTAATAAACCCCACACCAACCTAGTACAATATTGTCTTCTACATTTCAGTTGTTAACAAAAGCTAAACCTATTACCTATAGACTCGCTATTAAATTCGTATGTTTTAAAGACACTACTATATTCTAATATTTGTCCTTAAAACATACACCCCTTATATATCTAGGGTTGAAGTGAACAAGTTCACGACTAATCATCCTCCTCAACCTCCACACAAGGTTAATGATGACGATGAGTTCATAAAACTCCAAATTACAAGGTAAAGTGCATCAACATCATCATTGTTATTGTATTTGTGGCCAGTTGTTGCTTTTCACTCTCATTGTTATTGATATTACTGTACTTATAATAATAGACCAAATTTCTCCATCATTGCTCAAATATTAACAATTGTCACACAACCCAAATTCTAAATTCTTGCGTAAAGTGACATTACAATGAAAAAAAATCAAGCTCAGTTAATCTCAAATAATGGCAAAAGCCTTATGTCTTCACTCCCAAATTATGTAACTATCACAGAACCAAGTTTATAGCATTTTTATAATATAGTGATTTTCAACTTCAGCTATCACTTGAAAGTTGAACCTAGATCTTGTAACAGATATCAAGTAGGACAAAACTCTTAAGTTATGTTACTAACACAGAAACACCTTTTCCACAATAGATCTTCATGTAGTGATTAATATTCAATATCAATCATCAATTGAAACTAAATTTTATAGGGACGAACACATGCACGACTTATTAACCATGCCGATTTCATGGCCATTAGACATTTAAATGAGCATTCAGTATGTACACATGATCCTCAATTGTTTTCATATGGCACGCCAGTACCCAACTTTTGCTTAAACAAGAAACCGTAGGATCTTGAACAAAATAGTCTACTAGGTGTTATTGGGTATCTCAATAAGTGATCAACATTGCATATTCCAAAAAATAACATGAAATATTATTCTTAGGACAAAAGAATTTATCATGCATCGAATTAACCTTATGTCCTAAATCCTAATCAATTCCATATAAATTCAAAGAAATCCTATATATAATCTCAAGGCCCTAAATTTCTAGAATCAAATATTTTGATAGTTTTTCATTTTTTAAACATATTGGACATCTGGATGAATCATCTATGAAGTTTACATCCAAAATACCTCCTTTAGCTTAGTGATGAACTCAAGTCAGATTTTTTAAACATATTGGACATCTGGAGAAGGCAACAATATGCATATCAGCTTAAAGGGTACAGAATGAGGCAGCCTCTCTTCTTTTCCCTTCAAGAAACTTTACATCAGTTATGAATGAGCTCCATTTGTTGTTTTTATTGCCATCAAACAAGAATATGTCTATTAGTTACCAATCCATTACTATATTCTTGTTAAAATTTTAAAGCTACTAGTATCCCCTCAAATAAGACACTTAACTTCTTTTCAGTAAAATGACCTATTTCATTCTCATGATATTTAAATTTCACTTCCCTCTACATGTAAGAGGAACTTAACCTGATAATGCTCAAACTTTCCAAATACTAGCAGTTAAGGACCCACTATTAACCATTTTCTTGGGTGATTGAGGAAGAATATTGACTGCATACTTAATCAAAAGAAAAATCATGAAAAGTAGTTACTTGCAATGATTTTTTTATTAACTCAGAAATTAAACAGAAAGCAAACGTCTACTCCAATAATCTAGTCAAGAAACTAAAATCAAACTATCAACTGAATACCTTTCGTTGCCAAAAAATAGAAAAATAAGGCAAGCAATCCATATTTTGCAGGACTTCACATTTGCTCAGCTAATAAGGAATTCACCTGCTTGGGCAGCTCTCTACGGATCACAGGAAGTTGGGTGTTCCCTTCACAGATATTTCCAAGTTTGTCCTGGAATTGGATGGAAAGCTGAGTTATATCCCCCTCCACCACTTCGCAAACAACCTCTCTGGTGTTCAAATTGCCAAAATTGACCACCTGAGCGCACGCATACCCTTCATCATGGTACCACTTCTGCACCCTGTCCCTAATTTTCTGCAGCAACCTAGCGCTCACCTTCCCTTGATTACCCAGCATCTCCATCACCTCCTTCTGCACTGAAACTGGCAGCAGGCATGGCCGGGAGCGCTCAATTCTCCTCCGATAGTCCCTTTCCATGCTCTTGAAATATGCAAGCTTCTCCCTGTCAGTCATGTCCGGATCCATATCCGGCTGTTTTGTCTGTGGCAGGAGACCAACGTTAATGCACCTGAACGAGTCCGCAGACTGCCAGGTACTCTCGGTGAATGAGACTACTAAGGAAAGCGTCCCGTCCGGCTTAGTCTTCGCCTCTAGGTCGACCTTCTCGAACATGCCACAGGAGGCCAGAGTTTCCAGCTCAGCTTGGATCTGAGCCTTGGTGTAGACACCGCCTGCGCGGAGAGATACCATCTCAAACAACGAGTCAACGGAACTAGAGAAAGTGGAGCCCCGTCGGCGGTCGAAAAAGACGATATCCGATATCTTATACCTCTTCAGCCCACTAAGCTTGTTTAATTGAACCACGATGTTGGCCGGCAAGCCATGGGAGTCCCACTCCGGCCCTGCACCCGTCTCCATCTTCTCCTCCTCCGCACGTGCAGGGGGAGAGAGAGAAGAAAGAAATCTGGACCAGAATCCCCCGCTATCGCCATTGCCGCCGCCGCCACCACCACCACCTCCCCAACCGCTACCCCCGCCGCCTCCGGTACTTCCAGGAGGTGGAGTTGAGAAAAGGCTGAAAACAAATCCCCCGCCAACCGCAGAACCAGAGGCAGTGGCGACAGAGAGTAAGAAAACTTTCTTGCGGTTCCACTGCTCGTGTTCCTTAGATGAAGTGATTTGGGAAGGAGAACCGCTTTGCTCGGCGATATGGGCGGAAGAAACTATTTTCGAAACCGGCCGCCGAGGTCGAGGAGGAGCCGCTGGGGACAGCGCCGAGCTCAAGAGTTGCCTCTGAGCAAAGGCCATTGCCGGCTTCTTCTTCGGAGGATCGGGGAAGAGATAGGAAAGAAAATTCTTATTTATCAGATTCGAGGTTTAGGGTTTATAAACTTATATTTACCACAACTTTTAAGGGTTAAAAACAGTATATCTTTGTAATTATTCTCTAAGCGATTGCTTAAATCTTCTTTTTATCATTCCAATCATTTCTCACACAAATAAAGGTAGGAGAAATTTATAAGAGAGATTATTTATTTTAAGTAAACATTACATGAAGATAATATATTATGTGATTTGATACGATTAAAATGATTTTATTAGTATGACACAAAAGATCAAAAAATATATATCAGATAGCTGTAGATGTTAAATATCGGATATTGACGAACATTAAATGTCGAACAATTAGGAACATCTATGATCAATTCAATTACTCCTCTTATAAGAGTGTAGATCGATGATCATAAAGGTGAATGCTAGTGGCTCATAATTTCAAACATTGGCAAGAGATGGACGACACTTGACTTGGGATGTTTTACGTCATGTGATTGTATGTTGTCTTATCAGTCATTAACATTGTAAATGAGAGACTAGCCGCTATAAAAATGGTCAGTTGGTGTGAGTGGCTGACGAAATTCAAATAATAGCATACTTGATGATGGTTGAATGTCAATGTTGCATGTTGAGTGATGGTTATTAAGAAACTAGGCATCTCTCTTTATAAGAGGGAAGACAAAATTCATGAAGACATGCATTAGATATAGGCGTCTAACATATATTCAAAATATTTAGATGTTTGATGATAATTGATTGGGAACAATAGATATTGTTCCACAACAACAAACAATGACGACTAATAAGAATCTCATGTTGGGTGATGGCAATCATTAGATGTTGGGAGATAATGTTGGTTGGACATAGATGACTGACAATCATTGATGATGAACAATATTCCCTTAATAAACCGAATTTTTTTTAAATTAATTGCTAGCTTGATAAAATAATCAAATTTTATGATTTGTTAACTTAATTTGTTGGAAGGTTGGTGTAGCTCCAATGGAAGATATATAAGATTAGCGAGTGTCGCCTTAGATGATTTGATCAGATAAAACGGCGGTTTGTTGATGACTAAATTAGAAAAAATAGTTGTATTAGATTTGACTTATGTTAAGAAATGTATAGGTAGACCTAAAAATACTTGATTAGAAAAATATTAGAAATGATATATTTAAATGAGAATTTAACTCTTAATATGACACAATGGATAAAAAGGATTCATATAGCTAACTCCACATAATGGGATAAATGTTTGATGTTGTTGTTGTTGTTGTTAACTAATATATGTGTTGCTCAAGAAGATATAAAATCATTAAATAAATAAAAAAAAATCAGAAACAAACAAAACATGGTTTTAAACCATAATATTGTGTTTGTTTTTTATTCTCCCATAAAATAAAATTTTGATTTTTTAATGGCTTGAAGGCTTGGAGCTTCTAAACCTATGGGTAGCCTTGGGGAGAGAGGGAGAGAGAGAGAGAAAGGAAGGGAGAAACTCACACAATCATGTTGGTTCAGCTCGACGAGGAGAGTGGCGATAAGCCGGATTTGGGAGTGGAACAGTTGAAGTGTTAGGTTATACATATACACATATACAGAAAAAAACTACCAAAAAAGCTCTCAAAAAAATTTTCAATGGGGCAGTGGGAGAATATGACCCCATCGTGGTTTAGCCTCTGGCACCGCTAAGTAGACTGAGTTCGGTAGAGAGCACGAAGTTTGATTCTATAAGGTACACATGAATTTGTAATTCAAACTCTATCTCGACCTTTTATTATAATTATTGTAATATAAACTATTATTATTTAAGCATTTTTTAAATATATATCCTATATATATGCTCTAAATACATGTTTTATATTGTTTTAGATGATTAGCTGGCTCTGATAAAATGAGATGTCGCATTAAGAATTAATAAATTTATAGAGAAAGTATGTTTAAATTCACCCTTTTAAAGTTTTGGGACATTACCCTCATTCTCAATATATCATGTCATTTCAAGTGTGTAAGATACTATGATTGCATATAAACTTGAAATATTGGGGTTCAAATTAAAAAAAAAAATTAATATGTACAAATAATAATAAGTGAACTATACAAAGCTTGAATGTCATTTATTTTATACTAAAATGCTAGTGTGCATGTTTATGAAAATTTTGGGATAATTTAATACTACTCAAAATAAGTTATATATCTCAAAAATAAGAAATAACTTATTGAAATTTAGTATAATCATATAAATATTTGTAGAGTAATTAAAGCAATAACATACTGAAAAAGTTACATGATGAACATTTTCAAATTATTTAAATATATTATTTTTTTAATAAAATTTGATCAAATAAAATTCAAGAAAAGAAATTACATAGAAAGTAAAATCAATAAAAATATAGGTAGGGTAATGTTGAGTTCGATAAAATTTTCAGCTCATCACCATAATGCCCTTGAGATCCTCTCTCTCTCTCTCTCTCTCTGTTCAACAAGCAACCTTCTATTTTCATATCTATGTTGCTCATAAAAACAACGATAAAAATATTTATAAAATTGAGTTCATAATGTTGTACAATATGGTGAATGCAAATTAGACGTATAACATTAAAAAAAAGGAAGATCAGTATAGGTCAAATTCCATCTTATAGATTTTCAAGGAGTTGCATTATTATTTCTTAGCAAATCATTTATAAAATTAACCAAATATAAAAGATCATCTAAAAATATTTAAATCTATATATCATAACATCATAGTAATGAAACATATATGTATAAATATACTCAAGATAAACAAGTATTTGAGAGTATTATGGTGAAAAAACTTTCACTTGTGAATATGATAGATATTGTGAGCAAGCTATCTATCCATCTTTTCTTGTTAGGCTAACAAATGAAAAAAAAAAAAATTATGGATAATTATTCATCTTTGGGTCAACAGTGACTGATATTTTAAGTATGTATATTTATTTATAGGTGTTTGTGTTCAATACTTTAAAAGTACATATCACCCCTTATTAAGTGTTGACGAAATATTTTTGAATACACCATGTGGAGATATTTTACTTGTAACAATGATGCAAGATGCTAATACTTATCTATTTTCAAAAGCATTTTTAGTAGTGGACTTTTAAAATAATGGATCATATATGTTTTAGGCTAGGTTGAGTGAGTAAACAAAGTGGAAAACTTTGTGTTTGTCTTTGATGGACGGGGCATTGGGGAATCTTTCAAATCCGACTCAAAGCTTGATTGTCTATCATATTTGTAAGATTAAACTACATGTAATGGATGGTTACTTTAATAATGATGATGTTGATTTATGAGAAATGACATGTACCTGCAGATGACTTGATATGTCTCAGTGTCAATAAGTGTTGGTTTTAGTTGAAAATCGGGATGTCATTTATTTCAGTTTATGTTTGAAGTTCTATATATGAAACATGGTTAGCTCTATACACAAAGCTCTATAGAGGTTTTCATATGAAATAAAAAATGTTGTCATATTACCTCAATTTGTGAAGCCTATTGTGGTAAAAAAGAAACAATAGAAGTTCTTTTAAAGAATGAGAGGGACGAGGACCAACATATATATAGTCGTGAGAGATTATAATCAAGTTATTGATAAGATCAAATGCTCATCGCCTTCATAATAACATTTACCTCACTCTTCTTATTATTGTAAGAAAGTTATAACTAGTCAAATAAATTGTAATTATTGAATTTATGTAATGTGTTCTATATGATACATTGAGCCAAATTCTTTCCTCAAGAAAAGACACTATTTGTAATCAACTACAAAGAGCAGTGGAATCATTTTAAATGGGTCAAGCCCCGTGGTTTTTTCCCCTTTTTTTAGAGATTTTCACGTAAAAATCATGATGTATCTTTTAACTCTCACACCCCCTCTTTCTCTTTATTTATATGTGTGCTAGATCTTTGTTCAAAACTAAGACGTTAAGCTCCTTATCTCTTTACCGCCGCAAATGTTCTAGTCGGCAATACTACTCTAATCATGTTCAAACCTATCTTAGATTCATACATAACACATGATTTGGATAATATTCAAATAGGGTTCTAATAAAATTTATAGAAGGTTTGATTCAATTTTTCTCACATATGATTGTAATTTTGATTGAATCTTGTTATTTTCTTACCATAAATTTACCATGTCCATTTATTAGAAAGAAATTGATATAAAAATCATTGCACTTAACGCCCATGCCTTAAAAGCCTTCTTCACCGTCGATGGATGGATGTTGAAGCATTCTAATCTGTTCGTCCCACATTTCTTTCCACTCTTGACATTTTTCTTTAATTTTCCTTTCAATCCCGTAGCCGATCTTCTCTCCATGCCGCTCTCAAGGGATCTTCAGCAAACGCGCGCCGTTGCAGCGGGCGGCGGCGCTGCAACATATGCAGCTTCTACCCGGAAGCATCACTACCTCTACGATGCCGCCGGTGGTGATGATCTTGGGCCTTCGGCGAAGAGGAGGAATTCGGCCGCTTCATCGTGGGAAGATGGATGGAGCTGGCGCCTGAACACGGTACCGGGCCGCAGAACCTGTGTCATGTCTCAGCTCCCTGTGCTGCACCGCGATTCCACCGGTCTCGGTGCCGTCTCTGCTCATAGGCAATCGGAAGAGGGTGACACGCCCGTCATGTCGCGGGATGAGATCGAGAGATGCTCGCCATCAAGGAAAGATGGTATAGATAGATACATGGAGGCCCGCCTTCGTTATTCCTATTGTGCTTATCTTCAGAGCCTTGGGATGAGACTCGATCTGTAAGCTATTATCATGCTTTCAGCTTTTGGTTCACCCAGATTTCCTCTATTATGGAAATTCTCATGATTGAGTGATTCTTTTGATCGCAGGCCTCAGATGACAGTTGGTACAGCCATGGTGCTTTGCCACCGCTTCTTTCTTCGCCGATCTCACGCTTCTAATGATAGATTTGTGAGTTTATTGAACTATTCCTGTTTTGTCAATTTGGTTGCACCCAAAAGCAGTTTGTAGTTTGGACAAATTATCATTTGAGATAGTTTTCCACTATGTTCTTATTTCTCTTAGGGGCTGTTCTGTATTCTATTATAGGCAAGATTTCAGCAAGATTCAGCTTAAATCCTGCCAAAACTTAGTTTTGGAGCCTTTAAATGCTGTTGTTTTGATAAATGCAACTTCGGTACAATTATTAGTTAAAACTAGGATTTGTCAAATCCCATCATTCACAGAATTTAACGGATTTATAGATTTTTCCTCTCATAAATTTTAAATCTTGTAACAAATAGCCAAATAATTTATTAGTATTTAGCAAGATTTAATTGTTATCATGTAGAGTCCTAGAGGTCACAAAGATGGGCTTGGCTTGTCCTGGCTTGGTATGGCCAAAGGCAGAATCGGGGTTAGTGTTTAGGAACCTCGAACAATTTTTTTTATTTTATCATTTCTTGTCTTGAAATGATTAGGTGGATCTCTTTAAATAGAGTCAAGATGAAGAAAATTCTAGAAACAGAAATTCAAAGTTCATATTTGATTAGAAGTAGGAACTAACCTAAAAAATAACTAAACTAATTTAAAAATTAGGAGACTGAAATTCAAAAACCATGTAATCCTAGGAAAGTGGCCGTCCATGCTTGACGAATAAGGAGTGCTCGACTTTCACCAAACTTATACATTTTTTCCTCTTTTTTTAAAATTGAAATTTGCATACTCCTTGATAGTGTTTGGCCTCTTCCATTGATGGTTTTGGAGTTTTCACTTGTTAAGCTTGATGAGGAATACTCCCTTCAGTCCTTAGAAACTTTTGGGAATCTTTGAAAGTTTTGGGAAACCTTTAGAAGCTTCTAGAATATTTTAGAAGGCTGCAAAAAATCTTGAAAATTTGTGATGCTGAAATCCCGAGGGATCAACAACTCTACTTTTTAATCTAGTCATTTGTTGGCATGATGTTTGCTATTGTAGGCAGCCATGAGGCCCATGACAATAACCATTTGATACCTTTATTTCTGTGCTTTGCTTGTCTAGCTCTAACTTTGTGATAAACTAATAAATCCATTCAAACTGTGTCGTCATGCTGCTGTGAACTTAATTTTGGTTCTTTAGTTCCCTACATTTGAATGCTAAGATGGTACATTCACAATTATGAAATACATCAGAAGAAACCACCATATCTTGATGCTGCTGTATTAGGGCATTGTCACATTAACAATTATGAAAAACATGAAAAATGTACATGGTAGAAATGCCATGTTACTATGTGCTTTTCACTTTAAAACAATGAAGATCTGTTTCTCTTTCCTATGTGCATCACACCTTCATTTTTTTAAAAATTTTTTCTTCTATATTGTTTTATCTATTTGGTGTGGCCAAACAACTACCCAGATGATACTGCTTGGTGGCCCATTATAGTGCACCTTGTGTGGTACAGTAATGAGCGCGGCAAAATGGAACTTCGTTGACATTTATTGTATGAATGACTTTATACTTACTTTTTACGTGAACTCACTAACTTGTAAATTGAAGTTCATCCTATGTTTCTTCAAAACGAAACAATGTCTATCTGGAACACATAACCATATGTTTCAATCATTGTTACATTCATATTTTGTAACTGTCTATGATGTTCAGATGATGCAATAATATATATGCATTCCAACTCTCCATACCAATTTTGCATATTGCTTCAATTTTTGAATTGAATGTCTGTTATGTGATTATTTAGATTAGAGTGTTTTTTTTTTAATTTCACTTTTTGGTGGGATTATGCCTGGTCTCTTTTATCGTCTTAAGTTGACAGCTTCTTTTCTCAATTTGATTTGCACTATGTAAATTGATGTTATGTATTTTATGCAGTTAATAGCCACGGCAGCTCTGTTCTTAGCTGCAAAGTCGGAAGAAACACCATGCCTATTGAACTCTGTGCTCAGTGCCTCCTGCGAAATTTGTCAGAAACAGAATTTTGCTTTCTTTCCACATTTGCTGTATGCTGTAAGTACTGAAAGCCATTGAAATCAACACATACTTTACGCAAATGTTGGGGCGTGTCTTAAGAGTTGAAAAATCATTAAAATTTTACTAGAATAAGATTCAATTATAAATTCGGTTCTTTATATTTGCACAGGCGTTTCTAGATTTCCATTTTAATGCTCCATGGTTTATCTATCAAGAAAGCATCCATTTTCTGATTAGATTTGATTGGAAGTGCGTATTTGCTGATCTCCATTTTCTGTTGTTTTTAGCAGGACTGGTTTGAACAATACCGAGACCGAGTTGTTGAAGCTGAGCAATTGATTCTAAAAACTCTTAATTTTGAGCTTGAGGTGGAGCATCCCTATGTTCCACTTACTTCTGTTTTTAAGAAGTTAGGACTATCACAAACTGTTTTATTGAATTTGGCTTGGAACCTGGTCAATGAAGGGTAAGTCTTTTTAGTAGCATTATATTCATATAGTTTGAATGATTTTTTATGCAAAACTACTGCATTGTCAATTTGTTTGTTGTGATCTTTAGTGAAATGTTATCAAGAGACAACAGAAAAATGGCGACTTCCCTTTTCTTAAATATGTTATTGTAATGAATTGGTTTCCTCTCCTTTTGTTTATTAAACGAGTTCATTACATTTCCTTTACAAAGATCCATTGACATTGTGAGCATGCGTTTTTTGCTTATTTATAAATTTGTTTCCTGGCTATACTAATTTTTCTTGTTTGAGTTTTAAATGGATTTTAGTATTTTAATTGTGTAAAGTACTTATGTGAAAGGAATTTTTATGAAACAAAGCCTTATTTTTCGTAAAGACATATCAAAATGTATTTGATCTGGTCTACATTAGGTCAAATACGCAAGCACGGCATGTTATGTCTTTACTGATGTTAAAATTTTCTGCCCCTTTTCAGCTAATTAGTTTTTAATCAGTTCTTCCTTTTAAATTGTTTAATTTTTGCAGTTCCTAGTTTGAACTAGTGCAACTCCAATCTAAATGAACATGGCATATTTCTTTCATTTTCCTGCACTTTCTTATTCTTTTGTTTTCCATGATTGTTTGTGCTAAATATTTTTTTCTTGTTTCAGTTTCTTTTTTTAATTTGATGCAAGCCCATCTCAAACTGCTATTTCAAGTCAAGATGTTGAAGTTTTTTTTTTCTTGAGAATTTACGCAAGCTTCAAAATTCTTGTTGGGAAGTAATTCAGTATGTAGAAATAATGAAATATTTATATGATACATAAAAAGGTCCTAAAATTCAGGCAAGAGGTAGTATCTTAGAAACTTTTAGCAGTTATAGTTAATTTAAATGTTATAGGAATATTCATGAATTGTATAGCTAATAGCCTAATACTAAGGAGATGAAGCTCACATTTAAATAAGGGTGGCAACATCCTCATTTGTGTGCCATAAATAAGTTTTGCATGAAGTTTTAAAGAAGCTTCTTATTTAAAAGATCTTTCTCTACTAACTTCTTCGTTTCATTTCCTTCTATTTTCTATATAAAATTATATTTATTTTAATAAAGAGGATTTATAATTCCCAAATAGTAATGAGGAAGAGAGAGTCCAATGAAACTTGAATATGTTGTGCATTCAATTGGAAACAAAGCTTCAAGCCATTGTGAAGGCATTCAAACTTAGCCAAAAGGATAGTTGGTTATTGTATGTAATAGAAGAATCTAGTAATGAAGCATTCGAAGTAATCCCAAATTAACCTGTTAGATTTGCTAGTACCAGAAGAATTAGAGAAAAACTCATTAATGTTAATTCTGAGGAAATTCAGGGGTGGGGGTTCCAATTGACTGGGATCAAGATTTTTTTATGGATAGTTTGTATTTCTTTATTTTGTATTTTATTGGTGTTAGAGGAAAGGATGGATGTGTCCAAAAAGTAGCAATATCAAGCTTTAGTAACTTTGAAACTTGTGCAGGGCAACCCGAAGTGATTTCATGAAGTAGTTGTTTAAAATTGGACGGAGCATCTTTTGTTGTCATATTTTGCATAATTTTGAGCAATTTATATCTCCCAACATATAGTGCATGAAACGGAAGCTTGAGGCCATTGAGAATTTGAGTTTGTGGAGTTCCACCTTCTAGTAGGCAATATAAATACTATGAAGTGGCATGGAGAGATGACCCATAGTAGCGGTAGAATATCGCCAAATACCTTGAGCATGCGGGCAAAGCATCTCAACAAAATAGTAATGCTCTTATTTGGATGCTAAAGGAATTCCTTTGGATTGTACCATATCAAAATAGTGGGAGAGTAAAGGAGCTTCAACATGAACGGTTGAATCTTAATAGATCAACCAGAATTGCATAATTGGAGAATACACTGTGAAGTCATAGATAAGCTTTAGCAGAAGGATGAAGTAGTATTAAAGATGAATCCGCTATTGAGTGAGGGTTTAGGCCGCCATGTAATTGGTTTCATAAAATTCAAACTGATGAGAGGGCTAGGAATTACTTACGATAATGTGAAGTGGATGAGTTTAGCGTTGTTAAACACCAATATTAGTTCAAAGATCTTGAATATAGAGGGACAATACATAAATGGTAGGAAATTATTTGGAGAGAGAGCCCACTCAACTAGCGAGCCCACTAAATAAAGGCATGGTTGTTTGGATGAGTAAGTTAATGTTATCTTTAGTAATAAATCTAGCCTTACACATAACATTCTACATTGTGTAGCTAGTTTGATTGTTGAGAATTGAGCGGGTGTTTACATAGTACTATTGGGATTGAGAGAGAGAATTTTCACCATACTTTAACGTTTAATGTAAGGAGATGCTTTCAAGTTTCTTCATACTAGACTATTATTAGAGTGAGGATTGCATATCTTATCCCAAGCTTTCCGGTGCAAATTGTCCTCATGATTAGAAGACTCTCAAAATAATTGGGCAAATAGATTTTATATGCCTAAGGAGTTTCTTAAGGGGGATAAGATACTCAATGGATAGATAAGGGTGTTGTTAAGAGCATACTTGATGAGGGTAGTTCTACCCACTTGGAAGAGGAGTTTTGTTTATAACCATCAATGCGATATTGAATATTGGAAAGAATCTTACTAAAGTGATAAGTGCAAGCTTTTCCATATAATAGGGGACACCTATGATATTTGATAGGCTAAAGATTACGTGTCAAATTGTGACTTTAATGATGCTTTGCATTCTATCTCGAGAAAGGCTTAGAGTTGAAAGGAAATAACTTTTTGCTTGATTCACTGACTATTTAGGAGGGCTTGAACAAAATAAGCATATGAATACTATGTATAGATCAACAACAACAATATCAAATATTTATCCCATTATGTGAGGTCGTCTACATGAATCATTTTTCTTCATTATGTCATGCTAAGAGTCAAATTATTATTTAAATCTAATAAAAAATGTCATTTCTAATATTTTCTAACCAAATTCTTTTAGGTCTACCTCTGTCTTTCTTAACATAAGTCAAATCTAATGCATCTACTCTCCTAATCGGGTTATTGAAAGGTCATCATTTTATGTGACCAAAACATCTAAGGCAACTCCCAAATTCTTTTAGGTCTACCTCTGTCTTTCTTAACATAAGCCAAATCTAATATATCTACTATCCTAATCTGGTTATTGAAAGGCCGTCATTTTATGTGACCAAACCATCTAAGGCGACTCTCTCTAATCTTATCTTCCATTGGAGCTATTCCAACCTTTTTTAGTTTTTACGTATATGCTTGTTTCGTATTCTGTCTCTAAGAGTAAAGCCACTCATCCACCTAAGCATCCTCATCTCTGCAATACTTAACTTAATATTATGCTTCTCTTTTAATGACCAACATTCTACACCATGAAGCATCACAAGTCTTACCTTCATCTTATAGAATTTTCCTTTAAGTTTGAGGTCTTTTCTATTAGACAATAAGCCCGATGCATAGTCCACTTCAACCATCCAACTTGAATTCTACTAATAATATCATAATCTACTTCACCATCACTCTGAAGAATAGACCCAAGATATCTAAAACGTGTACTCTGAACAATAGAACCAAGATTACACAGCTCACCTTGGATGTTGGTTGAGTGCTTAGGCTACCAACTAAGAGGTCTTGGGTTCGAGTTTTGTGTATGCGATGTGTGTATGAGTCTGCCTTAATTGGCCAAAAGTAATTGGAAGAGTTTGAGTTATATTCTATTCTTTTTTAGGAAGCCCCCGATATAGTTTGTTTGCTAATGACAAATCTACATTTTTGAGTCATTTAGTTTTCATTGCAAACTTCATTTATATTATTTTCTATGATGATCGGTAATCTCCTAGAGTTATAGTTGTTGCTTCTAATGAGTCTTGCAAGATCAAATTTAAGATGTTTTGGTCCCTACTGAAAAATATTCTGATAAAACTTTAATGGAATTAGTGATTTGATAGCAAGTGTTATTGTTTATTTTATTTTATAATCTCAAGCAACAATGTGCCAGAACTAATATGAAATGAGGATTCATAGAATCAAATCCCAAATATTCTGATCAAGGCAAATGATGATGATTATACAAGGACTTCCCACTCTAAATGCAACTTGTAATTGCTTAAAAATGTTTATGAATACTTAACTATGTGTCAAATTTAAACTAATGCGCTACCTAATTTAGAAGCTCTATTTTACAGCGTGCGATTATTCATTTGGTTGGTGGTCTTACCTGCAGTTTCTCTTGTGTGCTATATTTCATACGCTTGGGTGCCATGGAGAGCTAGAGATCTGCTTTTGTTATTTGAGTTCAATCGTGCATGATTAATTGCATTTCTTATGTGGATTAAACCGTGCATAGTATGAAACTTTGAGTAGTTATTATGTAAATTAATGAGGCTGATTCGGTTAGACTACTTTTTAAATTGATTTCCTTCTTATAAACTATCGGAGGGATTAGTTTTGCTATATGGGTCTTAGGAAATAGTTTTGTTATTTATACTTATTATGCTCTTTCTTTTCTGTTGTCTGTTTAGCTTTTCTTGTCTTCCTGAGAATGACATTTTTACTGCTTAATGTGTTGTGATTTAGGCAGTAGCATATGATGAATGGAATATTGCTTTCGTGGGAGTTTTTTGATTTATCTTTAGTTTAAAAGTATCCACTTTTTTCTATGAATCTATTTGCTTGCTTTTTATTATTGTTGTTTTGCATATTGATCCATTGGTCTGCTATAAATTGCAGGGTCTACGAGACTAATGTGCTCAACTGTGTGATATTCTTATCTGGAGGATATATATGCTGACTATCGAAAGTATATTTATACGTCTGAAGTTCAACTAGCAGTTTTTTGTTTTTACTTTATAAAATCACTAAAACAGCCAATTTTTCAGGCTTACTGAAGTTCCATAACCACTTTTCTGACCACTTGTTATCCTAAGTCATCTTTTGGGAATTGCACACTGGATCTGATATGCAGTCTTAAGGATATGCTGCACAGTCGGCTCTCTTAGGTTGCCATACACCGAGTGGACAGCCAGAAGAGTGTCTCACATTTTAATCCCATGCTGATGTCATCTGCATCCATCGAATTTTCTTTCTTTCGTTGGAATGCCTTCATGGTTTTGCTGCTATCGACATCCATACCCATCCTTTTTCATACCCAAATCAGTTACTGAAAACTTGAAATTCTGCCTTTTAATGTCGGAATATTAGGTTGTAAACAGACTAGATGAAAACCAGGATTGATCTAGGTATCGTCAATTTTATGTTTGCTCTAGTGAAAAATATATTGTTTGGTGGATCGAAATTTTTTGTGATATCAAGAAGGGCATATTAGTTTAAAAATCAATATATTTTAATATTTATAACTCATAATAGCTAATAACATATCAATTAAAAGTAATTGTACCAATGAAAAAAAAAATCTTTAATATGCATCAGTTTAGAGGTTGTTATTTGGCAAATCTCTTTGTAAGAAAGGCATGTTGAAAATTAAAATTATCTCAAGGAGAGCAGGGGATCCAGAAAGGGAGGGATGGGGAGGTATTGAGAGTGGTTGGGAAGGGAGAAAATGAAGGAGGGAGGTGGTGTGGTTTGGATTGAACATCAATAATTATAATAATGATGATAATAAAGTGTTGTGACCACATCATTTTGATTCAGAAGAAATCTATATATCTTATGACCAGTTTATTTGAATGTAGAAAAAATACATAACAGTTGTAATATTTATGTTTAGATATGATTGAATTAGTAGAGTAGTGTGAAAAGTTCATTTATCTATATATATCCCCCACTTTGCTTAAGCTTTCCATTTTGAACCATTTGTTGTTGGTTGCTAAACATCTTACCTCTTCCTTTCTTATTTGCTATTGCTGTACCCTGAACATCTATTAACTTACCATATGGACTTTTACTTTCATATCAGCTGTTTTTGGACAGTGCAGCCTCTTACTATGGATGTAATCTGGAAAATTTCCAAAGTTCTTGTAAAATATTATGTTCAAGATGGAAGAGTTAAACCTTTTTGATATGCTGTCATTGTATCCTTTTTAATTATCATCCTCCCTCTCCTTTTACTCATCATCTTTCCCTTGTTGCAAGAAAGCATGTCCTCCCTCTCATTTACCACCTTCAAATCCTATGTGCATTCCAGCACAACAACTGGTAATATGGACACAAGCACCTTTCCCTCTCTGTCCAACCTCACCATTCCGCACTGCCTGCTCGCTCTCACATGGCATCAAAACTTGCGAACGGCATTCGTTGGTTACTGTGCAATTGATAAGGATTCCCATCTGTTTACTGGATTAAGAAGTTATGATGAAATTATTTGACAAAATCTAACTAACAGGGCAGTTTATTAGCTCATATGTTAATTTATGCATAAATTTTCAATTTTCTTTTATTTATCTTTTTTAATGCAATAGATAGATCCAAGGAAAATTTTGACCAATTTTCTTATTCCTATTCCATTTTAAAGGACTTTTTGACGTCTCCCTTGCACCTTTAATTCGTGCAAGTAAAATTCTAATGCTTGAGCTTCTGCCATGTATATATAAATCCTACTGGTGTGTTATAATTCAATATGCTTTCATATGCATGAATTTGATTTGGAACACTTTCTTTTCTAATTTAATTTTCATGGTTGTATTAGTTCATCTGTACTTAATGTACGGGTGCATGCTGTCATTTGCATATGGTCTCATCTCTCTCGATCCCCCAACCCACCTCCATCCATCCCTTTTTATTAGACGCATATGAGAAAGGTGTGTAAGGTGCATCCAACCAATCAGCATCCAGCTTGTGGCATCTGTGCAATGTTATACTTCAATTATCTACATATTCCTGATTGGCTGGGTACACCTTCGGCACAGAATAATTTTTTTTATTGAGAGGCAGGTTTGATTTTATTTTGGGGGGCTTGGGATATGGATTTGTGATGCAATCAAGAAATTTTAATCAATGTTTTCTTTATTTTTCTATGTTTTGGATTCTTTGTAATTTGGACTCTTATGTTTTTTTTTTTTAATCTGTAATACTCTATGATGGAAAACAACCTGTGATCATGCTTGAGTTTGGTGCTCTTAGGAAGCTTCACTCCTTTGATTTCCACTTGTGTTGATCTAGCTTCTTTGATGTTTAGTTGGGTATTTATTTTGGGCTATTTTGCTTATTGGTCTTGGCCCAACTCTTTCCCTATGCTGGCTGTTTTTTCTTATGCTGCTATCTCATTTTTCCGTTCTGCTAGTTGTTCGGTTTCTACCTTGTTGTTTTCTTATACCAAGTGCATTAACTCATTAAATGGGCTAACTTGAGAGGCTTCTATTGGTTGTTTGGGTGGCATAATTAAGTGAGGATTTTATGGCCATTCTCCCGTTCTCCTATATATGTGGGTTGTTTTGCTGCTAGAAGGGGTTGTTTGTTATTGTTGCTGGCTTGCGAGCTATCTTTTTCTACCTTCCTTCTTTTATTTGGTCTCGGTCTTCTATCTACTCTTCTCTTACAGTTCCCATTCCACCTTTATCTTTCTTCTTCAAATATTGTGAGTTTCAAGGTGTTGTTGTGCCCTGTTTGTTGATATTTGTAGGAGGAGTGCCGACTTAAGTTGGATCAAAATTTTTGTGGTGAACAACTAGTTTATCCTTTCTTTTGAGCACCTTCCCTATTTTGGGTTTTGCATGTGAAGTGATATTTCTAGGTTGTTTTGAGGGTAGTTAATTTTAAGTTTGAGTTTGTTTTTTTGCAAGATTTTCTAATCATTTACTATTAATTTTCATTCAGTTGGTATTGGTTTATGTTTTATTGAAAGAAAGTGTCTTGTTGCATTCCTATTGTTCTCCTACTTGGCTATAGAAGTTAGGCTGTATCAATTTGGCCATGTGGTTCCCCTTGGTTCAACTTTCTCTGGCTGTGGTGTTTACGACAAGATTTTGATCGTGTGATTGCTCTGCTTCAAAATTTGCATTGTTAATGTCCAGGCCTGTACAGTCAAAAAAATATTTCCGCTATTACTGTCATTCTACTTATTGTTTTTTATTTGCTATTAATAAAGTTTCAAACTTGCTCATTCATTACTAGTTCAGCAAAAGCCTCCAGATTTTATCATTCTATGATGATACGGTGAATGGCATTCGATCATTGTAGCTCCTCATGTTATTTTCTTGATGAAATCACTGTTCTGAATCTTATGAATGTTCTTTTACTATGGAGCATAGAATTCCAAGGGCCCACTGCTTATGCTGAAATGGCATAATTATGTCGGCTTTTCAGAAGATTCTTGGATAGAAGCTGCTTATGATAGTTGGTAAGGAAAAAACAACAGTGAAAGTTGATTTTTGTTATATTGCTATGCCATATAATTCTGCTATCCTGATTGTGTTCTTGTTTATCTGAGACTAGAATGGCTATTATTTGAAGTGGGAAGACTTTTTCTAGTTTGTAGTAGAAAATAGATGGTTTGGCTATTTTTTTAGCATTCATACTTTGCTAATAATTCTTTGTGTTTCTTTCCTTCAGTTTAAAAAGCTGCATTTGAATTTTTTTTCTCTCTTTCTTATTAGACTTCGGAGCTCACTTTGGCTCCAGTTTAAGCCTCATCACATAGCTGCTGGATCAGTATTTCTTGCTGCAAAATTCCTCAAATATGATCTAACATTGTATCAGCACATTTGGCAAGAATTTCAGACAACAGCACCAGTTCTTGAAGGTCAGTGCTACTTTTTTTTTTTTTTTAATCTTTTATTGTTTTGCTACTGCTAACATTTTATATTTTTGATATTAATATGCAGATGTTGTTCAGCAACTTATGGAACTGTTGTAAGAATAGTATGTATGTCTACACTTGCTATTAATTTTAGAAAATACCACATTCTTTCTGAATCTTATAAATTATAAATGTCAAAAATATACACAGTTTTTTACAAGCAATATCTATCAATTCATTCGTCTCTCACTTATGTTTAGCACATTTGAAGCTTAATGGCAGAATGAAATGGCCTAGCTCGAGCTTATTAGTGAGCCAACTCTCACCTAGCTTTGGCTTGACTAAGCTTGAAGCTCTTAAACCATAGCATATAAGAAAGAGTCGAGTTGATTTATGAGTTGGCTCAGATTTAGATCCATAAATGATTTGCAAGCCGGTTTCGATAAGCTAATATTTTTTTTCTCTTTTTCTATTCATGATCAAAGAGTTAACACTTTTTTTTTGGCTTTGCCAATCCCGGTCAATTTATGAAAGAATCTTAAGTCTTTGTAGAAGTCCGAGCTGATTAGCTCAAACTCAGAATTGTTAGCATGCTAGTTGGTTTGTTTGAAATTTGTTTAGCATTAAATATAGTTAAATAGCATTCAATAGTAAGTATAAGGATATTAATTTAAGAGGTTATTTGGTTGGGAGAGTTTTAGGTTTCGTTTGGGATAATTTTTATTATTATTTTATGAAGTTACTTTTTAGTACAAAAATATTTTGAAAGAAGGAAAAAAATAGTGGTTTAAAGCTATCCCAAAGGGAGCCTTAAGGTGCACTCTAAATAGAGGTTATAAAAACTTAGATGTATGATTAGCTGAAAAATAAACTCAAGGTAAAATTTCAAATTTGTTAAAACTCATATATTGGTTTTATTTTGGTGATATACAAAATCGTCCACAAACCGCTTCGCCCTTTAGTGTGTGACGCTTATTCGTTGCTTGCCAACATTATTGCCCACCAACTCTCGTCGAACTACGACCGCTAAAGATTGATTTTACTTTGCAAGCAAATAGGAAAAAATTTAAGCTCATGAATTTTTTTACAAGCAATCAAAGATCTAAATATGTTTCAAATATATGGATTTTACTTCACATTTGTATTTAGAATAGATATGATTTTCCAACAACTACTTAAAAAAAATCTCTTCTTATCTCAATTGATTCATTATAAAATTTTATTCATTTTTACCTTTTTATTGTAAGAGTTATTTGAATTAGATTTTTTTTTTCTTTGATTATAATAAATGAGCCAATCTGATACTCAGCAAATTGGGATCCAATTCAAACTTGATTAATGAAGCTGCAAAGTATAAGTTGGCTCATGCTGTCTCAACTATCTAGAACATTAAAGTTCCTCTGTTTAAGACTAGACTATCTAGTTGAAAAATTCTCACAGCACACAAATTATATGTAGAGAGACAAGGAATATGTTTAACTCTAATGCTTTTATGTCTTATATTTATCTTATCATTTTTTAATTATTCTTATTTTTGAATATTCAAAATTTGAGAATTACTTTACATTCTTTCACAGGAGAAAATTTTAGTATGATTATTTGAAAATTATCATTTTAGATTAAGTGATACTTGAAATAAAATATTGAGCGTGAATTTTTTGAGAAAGTGAAGAGGTGCTGCCTAATTTAGGTGAAATTATTCTGTGCGGATGCGGACGCCGTCTGGAGACAAATTAGATCGCGCTCGCGCCACGTCACCCGTTTGCTGTGTACATGTATCACATGACGTGGTGCATTTTGATCCATCTCCGAATGGCCCGATGTTTGCATAGAATAATTTCTCCTACTTTAGATGATGTGTAATGGCTAAGGAAAAAGGTACAAAAGTTAACTATTGAACTTTTGAATGATTTCATAAATCTTAACACTCTAATGAAGAGTGCCTTTACATCTTAAAAGAATTTATTTAAAATAACCTTCCAAATAGGCAAAATACTCCACAATAATTAAAATTAAAAAAAAAAAATTAAGCCCATTTATATTTATATTCACTTTTTAAATTTAAATTGTTTTATCAAGCATTATTTTATCTTAAACAAAAAATGCATATAAATTTAAGATTTATTGATTTAAATAGAATTAAAATTATTATTATCATTATTATAACAATTATTTCAAACTTAACTTTGTGGACCCATATAAGTCAATTAGATATGAGAAATTTAACTATATATGACCCATAATATGCAATTTTTTTTTTAAAAAAAGCCACTATTTATTTTCATTAAGACATGCCTCAAAGTTCAATTACGATTTGGGTGTGAGCCTCAATGAATGAGCCTAAACTGAGCAAATTCAATTATTATTAGGTTCAACATAACGAGTTTGCCACCAATAGATAATGGAAAAGCATCCGTTTATAGATTTGTGAAGCTACCTTAACTGAAAAACTAAAATGTTTTCTATTAATATAACAGCCAAAATAAATAAAGAGAGTTCAAAAGTCATCTTCCCTAACTATAAAAGATCTGTAGATGTAAAAAAATACTTACAGAGGTTACAGGGCAAATTATTACATGCGGTGTCCGGACTGTCCGGAGGCAAATCAGGAAATGCCACGTCACCCGGATGCACCGGAGTCGGAGTGACATGGCACGTCCAAATTCGCCTCCAGATGCATCCGGACACCGGACGTAATAATTTGCCAGGTTACAAAGCTTTCTTTACCCGCAAGGAGTGAGCTTCTTGTTTCCGGCACCTCGAGGGTGGTCGTCCTTCCAATCATCCCATGCTCGCGCCTTCTCCTGAGCCTCATCGTCGTCGTCGTCGTCATTTTCTCGGCGATTCCTATCCTTGTGCCAGGAAGAGTTGGCCTCCTCCATGAGCTTTGTATTCCTTTCCTGCCACTTGTTCATAATCTCCATTTCTCTTAAGCCAGCTTCTTCTATGCTCATGGTGGGCAACCTATCAATCCAACAAACAGTAAATAGCCAGAAGGGCTAATGAGCTACAGTTTCAAAGAACAAAGCTACTATTGATTCCAAATTGCATAACTTTTATTGGAAAAACAGCAATGGAAAAGATGAAATAAGGCCTTGTTTTCATAGATAATCCAGTAAATAAGCAGTAATTTAAGCATGCCTTGTGACAAGAGGAGATGTGAATAAATTAAGGACAGCAGCGGAAGCAATTTTTACAAACCTACAGTGTAGGTAATTTTTTACATGAGATAGAAACAGGCTTAAAAGCAGGCATTGGAAACAAGGAGTTGTATGGTTTCAACGTAGTGGCTAAGGCATCGTTTGGGACGGCTTTTTTTATGCTTATTAAAACAGTTTTCTAGTACAAAAATTTAAACTTTTGTACTAGAAAGCTACTTTAAGAAGCAGCGAGAAAGCCGTCCCAAACAAAGCCTAAGTTTTATGTTCTGATTTTTCACTTGGTTCAGATCAAATGGAGCTGATTTTTTGCAGAAGACTTTCTATAGAGTAAGAACCATTACTCAAATTCATACAAAAGAGAATTCTCATCATCTGTGGATTCCTCACAAAACAGAAAAATCCAATCCTTAGTTTTTGAAAAATGCTACAAAACAAATCCATGTCAACGTGGACCTCTTTTGATTGGAGAGAAAGAGTGAGCCGCACAATTGTCCAAATTACAGAGTTACATAGGTTCACTACATAAAACTAAATGAATTTATGATGCATATGCATTTGCAGAATCAAGTAATTTGCCTAAGTTTTTTTATAATGCATATATTCTCACCAGAAAGCATGATTATATAAACATGATCATTTTCCTTGTTAACATTAGCAAATAAATTCATGAATAGAACCAAGTTTTAAATTTAGTGAGTGGCGGAGTCTGAACTATAAAATTTATTTGTCAAATTTGTATCAATTTTCTTCAACCTTTCAGCTCACCTCATTTTTATTCATGTAGACATCAATTCCCATTAGGAGACATCTACACTTCTTACAGAACTTAAAACATAATAACCAGAAGCATGCAAACCAGATGTTTATTTACCAGTCATAGAAGCAGATAGAAACCGTAAAACGCAATCCGTATTAAGATAGTAGAACAGAACAATGAGGATGGAAAATAGTCAACAAAAACATTAGCATTTCGTACCTGTAACCAGGCTGGAAGACTTGTGCTGCCATTCTCTCTCTCTCACTAGTTAATTTTCCACCAATTAAGCTAGCAGGTCCAAATATCAGAGGCTGGTGTTTGTGCTCATGTACTTCTGACGCCTTTGCTCTCCCTTCAATAACATCTTGTGCAAAAGTTGCACAACTGATAGGTTGGGAAGGTTTCAGGAAAGGAGCTCGACTAGCAGCAGTTTTATGCCACATTTCAGCTTTTTGGGTACGCTCATCCAGTACTTCTCGAGCAAAATAATCATTACCTGCCTACAATTCAAATAAATCAGAAATTACGATGCAGTAAATTAAGAAAAAAATAGTAATAAGTGGGCAATCATGTTTCATGTTGTCATATAAAAGAAAAACAATAATATCAACTATTAAGGCTAACAAACATGGCAAAGTCTAGATGAATATGCCAACAAAGACGTGAACTATGAGGCAAAAAGACTTTAAAACAGATCAGGTGATCAACACTACTTGCATTGGACAAAGGCAAGGCTTTTGAGGTAAGAAAAGACCATGATCAAGCATATAGGTTATACAAAGCATAAAAGCCTCCGCAAACTTGAGAAAAGAAATATTATGTGAAAATTACAGTCACCCCAGTCAATTATATCAATTTTTTTTCTTGAAAAATTGTTAACAAGAGTTCAACACAAAATAAGGGCAAGAATCATAGCAGAGTAGATTCAAGTCTCAGCAAAGGTTTGCAACAACACATGTTGGCAATGTGGCATGACAGCCCACATGAAAAAAAAGCATTGCCCACAAGACGGGTGGACAGGTTTCAAAATAGGTGGACTATTTGAATATTAATATTGGAAGAGATCTACGATGAATTGATCCTTAGTTAGTGGTATGAAAGAGACAAGTTCCAATCTACTCAAAATAAAGAGTTTAGTTAAATAGTTGGAGTTTGTAAGCAGGTTCAGCTTATTAATGGTGACCTGAACATTGTGGAAGTTGGTGAAGATTAGCAATAGGACTACATGAAACCTTCATAATGTAAGACATGTTTCTGGCTTAAAGAAGAAATTGATCTCCATTGAAACATTGGGTGAAGAATGTCTCAGCCTTATTCAATAACTCCGAGAAGTTGATGAAGAGTGCAATGGTGATAGTATGAGGAAGTAAAGACAACACCTAAAGCATGGAAGGAAACATCAGAACAGTGGGAGCCATTGTGAAATCAAGTGTTAGAGATTATAGTGGTGCAATGAGAGATGAATTTCTCTTAAGTAGGAGCTTCCAAAAGCCATAAGAGCATTACAAGGCAAATGACATTTCAAGATCAAAGAGAAGTATGATATAAGATAAGGACTGTGGTAATAATTGACAAGTTCGTCACTAATGGACTGAGGTAGTACAAAGTCTCAATCGAACTCCTAAGTTGATTGAGAAGGGGGAGCCGCATACAGATGATTTCTCTCTAATGATTGTATATAAAAAAATTAATATCTAAGTGAGAGATTGTTAAATGTATTTGTTTTCCTTAAATATATCTCTGAATCAAGCCTTTAGAACTAAGTAAATTTCATGAAGTTTTCAAATATTTAGATTACTGCAAACTTTTTGCAAAAAAAAAAAGTCATTCTAATAATTGTAATCAATCTTAGCAAAGCTATTGTATTCTATCTTCACTGCCTCTTCCAGCTCATAAAAGGAATAGATGGCGATGTTGAAAGGCATTAGCATATACAAATGAAGCGTCTTCTTGCATGGTATAGAGAAGTCCGGTTGTAGCCCTCCTCAGGTTCTAGATGCAACACCAATTGAGGCCAAAAAGCATCCAAATTGAATAGATAGTAAGACTACTAGGTGGTCAGCACTAGGTGACTAGTGATTATTTGAGAAAATCAACGAAATAGATGGTTGATGGAGAAAAGGTAGGTTGGTGACGCGACTGAGTCGCAAGCATGGATTCTAGTTGGTTGACATTTGTGAGTTATGAGCACCGAGTCTCAACAATTATAGAGGTATTAATTGTGTGCCGATAAGCGAGAAGCGGTGGTGGTTTGTAGAGCTTCCTGATTAGACAGTGGGTGGGTGTGAGAGAGAATGGTAAACTGTCTAAAATATCCTTTTAAACAATAAGCCGACTAAATACATGAAATCTAAAATAACATAATCTATAATATGAAAAGATAAAAAAAAACATGTTGAACCAGAATCCTTATGTCAATGATGATCGTGCATTAATTCTCCCTGTTTACAAATAACTCTTCTCTGAACCAAGTACCTGTGAACTTTGTTCCTTCACAGCAACTAGCATCTCTTCCTCTTTCTTTAGCATATCAAGCAGGTCAAAAGCCTATAATCAAAAAAATAAAAAAAGAAAAGAAAAAGAAAAGATAAGTTAAAAAAAAGATGGCTACCATTTGATAATTGATATTTACAAGAAATGAGCAGAAGATGATTCCATGGCATGCTCGAAAGGATAGATGTAGATATACCTTGCAAATAGCCAGAGAGATAGAAGTTATCCAGGCCTGAAATTTAAGCAACATGAAACATTACTCAGGCATTCAGTTCATATGTAGAATAGAACATAATCAGAAAAAAACCTCAAAGTTCACATTGAGGTGTGAGAATTCATAAAGTGCAACAAGTCAGCAACTAATGTATTGGATCAGATTTTATAGGAGCGCAAAGAGATTTTTAACAAGATGTAGAAGGCTACATGGTTTGATGAGCTAAACAATTTGACACACCGAGAAAAAAAGTTGGTTACTCTAAGAATAGTATGTCATCAAGGGTTTAATGGAAATACTGACCAAACCGTTTTAGCTAAAAGAATAGTAGATAATCTTTATACCCTTAGCTAGTAATTTGGCAGTTACTTCAGACCAGTACCCAAACAAACGAACTACAAGTTAATCGTTAGGATGATCTGAGCTGACAAAAGTAACAATAACCATCTTGACTAAGAAAGATCAAAGAAACTAACTTCAGTAATAAAGAGCTGAAATGAAGGGTCTTATTACCAATTTGTCAATCAAGTTCCAAAGCTGAGCCTTAATTTTAATTAAAACATAGAAAAAAGATGCCTATCGGCCAAACACAGATCATTTATATGATCCAACAAGATTCCTAAAACATGCAACATAACAAACATAGACAAACCACAACATTAGCCAAGTAAACAACAAACAGCTAACCTCACTTCACCACATTTTCCAGAAGCAACCTGGTTTGCCTACTAGGTAAATTGGTCAAATAAATCAAATGAATTACAAAGCAAAACGATCAGGTTGCTGTGCAAACAGTGTCGGACCACAACAAGTGCATCATATCACAAGGGAGAAACTACACTATTATTAAGATTCCACTATCAATTCTTATGGGCTACGAAAATTTGCGTTACGACCTCTCGTGTTTTGAGGAAAGTTTTAATAGAAATGTTCTGAGGAAAAATTTTAAAAAGAATATTATATTAAAGATAATACACTACACCTATATTTTGCCCTCATTTTATGAAGACTTTATGATCTGGCACCATATTTCCAATTGATACAGGCCCATATGATTAACCTCCTAATAACCAGAGAGAACTTCAGATCACCAAGCACCGAGAATTTAGCCAAAGTAATTTTTTGTTCCTATTTATGCATACAATTTTTCCATCATTTATTTTAGTGGCCATATCAATCTCTAGCTTTGTTTATTTGTCTATAGTACATTTTTTAAGTATGTTACTTTTTATCGTTATCAATTAGGTCATTGATGATTTACTCTTAAACTAATCATATTGAGAAAGCTATTCATCAAAATTATTTGCCCTATTCTGGAGTGAGTGCTGTCATTGCAAACAGTAACAAAATATTAAAAAAAAAAACCTGGCAGAATACATATACATGAAATTTTTATTAAAACAATTGATAGCAAATAACATTGCGAAATAATCAATTTTCAACCACAACAAACTTGAGTTTTTTCAAATATGCAGAAAGTAACTTGAAATATCATACTGCTGCAAGATGGATAATTTTAGGGGTCAATTCACTCTCATAGAAACCTCAATAAAATGGAGATTAACAAATCAGTTATCCATGCAAAGCTACAAGACCCAACAATGATATTTAAATATCCTAAAATCAACAAAAATTATGCCTTCTCACAGTAGAATTGAATGCTAGAAAGTAGTGACCTTCTTATAGGTAGAAAATTTCCTAGTATTATTGGGTGTGGAAATTGACAAGTGCTTTATGATGAAATCGATCATAGTTATGGACGAATTAACGTTGTGATCAAGGTAGTAGTAGAAGGATACAAAAGTTGGCAACATATATAATGTCAAAGAGGGTGTCACAATGTTGCTACACAGTCGTCGTTGTTACAGACAGAGAATGTTGCAATGCTGAAACATGTGAAGGTAAAAGGAGAGATGTGGCACCAATCGCACCATCGAGCAAAAAGCTCAAACTTGATGGAAAAAAGTGCGACATTGAGTAGAAGAGGGAAAGAGAACGTGTAGATATATGATCGATTAATGGTTGTAGATAGAAACAACAATCAATTCGCACTGGGAGCCATAGTGTAAGCGGTGTAACCAAAGGCAGGAAAAGTAACAAGCAACAACATCACAGGTTGAAACACGAATCTCCACTCAAGGAAGTCATCAATAATGCGGTTATTAGTGGACTAAGGCTCTATTATAGGATTGATATTTTTATGGGCTAGAAGGGTAGGCTTAGACTAGCAGCTTTAGGAGGGTGAGTGGCATGGGTGATTGAGTCAGAATATGCAATTACAAAATTAGAGATAAATTTGGAGCAGGTCAAGATGTGGCTACTAAAATTAGGATGGGAAAATTAAGATTGTAAAATATTAGAATATTATTAAAGCCATCAAGAGAAAACAAAGGTTTTGACCATGATACCAAAGTTGATAGAGAAAAGGAAAGGCAAAACTCTGCACACCTAGTTTGGAGCAATCCACATATACAATTTGGATCTAAGGAGCACTTGTTTGGCCTCACAAATAATCAAATTTCATTCATTAATGTTCCATCTGAATATAAGCCATCAATCCATATTTATAATCTATGATTTGACTCGCATTGCAAAGATAAAGCCAAATAATTTGAATTTAATCCACATTCATTGGTTTCCATTAGAACTCGAGCCGAGCCAAAACTCAATATGAAATGTGAGTGATCCTCAACCTTGAGTCAAATCATAGCCATAATGTAGTCAACTAGTCATTAATCGACTATAACAAAACATTATACATGATATATGGCTAAGATAAAAAACTAACTAAACTAATTTAAACAGAAAAATAAATGTAAAGATCACTCGATATTTGACAATATAAAGATAATCACTAACCTCCCTTTCTTCACCATCATCATCAAGCAAATCTTCCTCCCCAGCCTCAATAGGGGCAGAAAGAGCTGAAGCTCTCAATGAACGGCCTCTCCTCTCCTTCCTTTCTTTGATTTCTTGAAGTTTTGCTTCAGCAGCTTTTTGACGCTTAAAACGAGCAATCTAGTTGAAGTAAAGAAACAGTCAAGTCAAACAATCGGGACTAATGAATGAATTACTAAATTTTGCTAGTTTGAGGAATATAACCTATTTGGACCAAGATTCTTTATAATGTTTAAATTTAAAAATCTTTGGTTGATTCATCTAGAAGAATTAACTTTAAACAATGAGACTCAGGTCTTAGAGTTTAAATAAAAATTTCAAGTAATTTTATATAATTAATTGAACAACAAAAAATTTACAAAACTAATACAAATTGGCACCATGAGAAAGCTAAAGACCACAAAAAAAGGCATTCCATAGAGTTAAAAAAAAAAAGCATTATTAACATAGAATGCTTGAAAACCCCCTCTCCAGTATTGATAAGTAGATTGTGGCCTTTTTTTCGTTTAAAGTTGTTGGAGAAATCCATAAGGAAAGTGGAGAAGAGAGAAACTTAAAAATAAATGGGCAACAAGAATATCTTATTTTGAAATGGTGCCATCTTCTATTTATAAGATTTAAAAATTGAAAATAGTGGCAAAATATCTCATCCATGAATGAGAAGCTTTCATTCTCTTTCTAAAATTTTAACACAAAAAAATATAAGAGAATATAATTTTAATATAAATCCAAAGAATAACAATCACCCATGATACAGAGGAACAAAGAAAGTTTTTTAAAATCATATTTTAATCAACATATTTGACTTTAGAGATCAAAACCATAATATAAATATAAATTTTAGCATTTAGTACTAAGTACAGAAAAGTGTAGGAGAGAGAAAATGAAGGTGGATGAGCCATGGGAATGCTCTGTTTTGAAATAATATTCTCTCCTATATTTGAGATTAAAATATTTAAAAATAGAGGGAAATTATCTCATATAAAAATATCTTCGATTAGATGTTTTCTCTCACTTTCTAAAATTTTAATTCAGAACAATGGAAGAAAATACTGTTTTAAAACAGAGCCAAAACAGAAGTGGTAACAAAAAGTGCGATGGAACTAATAAGGACTTTTCAATTTATCTTTAAATGAGCGACATTGAATTTGAAGAGATTATTATTATAGCTTTTTCAAATTATCTTCTTCCTTTGTAGAAACATTTGACTTTTACGGTCATAAGCAAGACATAAATTCACATATTAACATTAAAGAATTTAAGTTCGTATTTCATTAATAAAGCATTATGAAGTTATTTTATATGTTGATCTTTTATCAAATTATTTCCTAATTTATTAGAAAGAAAAGGAGGTGCAAACAAATTAAAAAAACACAAAAAAATGAAATATGATTTTTTATGACCTTTGCAACATGTGTTTTATGTGAAAGAAATGTATACCAAGATCAATAATTGCAGTGACTTAGCTGAATAATTGAATTGTTACTCTATAAGATGATTGCAAGAATACATCTTACTAACCCTAAATCGTTACTACATCGTAAATATCTTCATAACAAACGAAAGAAGATATGTACTCGATATGGACCATTAATATAATTATATTGTAATTTTAAACTCTTTGGCCACTCCACAACCACTTTAACATTAATCAATATTTCATTATACATATCTCTAATAACTTCAGCATACTTTTGAAAAACATTTTTCCTTAATACATATCAAATCAATTCTTCTCAGTAGGAACCATTGTTTCGTGATGCAAGCACATGCACTCCTCCCTGATTTTGTACACATTTCACAGTATAAATCTTTTTCAGCACATTGAAATAACTCCCTAGTATGACGTTTAACTAAAATTAAAGAGATGCCCTAATGTTCACAAGTTGATTCACTACATAAGAATAGCATCTACTAATAGAAATTGAAGCGATGCAAGCACATGCACTCCCCCCTGATTCTGTACACATTTCACAGTATAAAGCTTTTTCAGTACATTAAAATAACTCCCTAGTATGACATTTAAATAAACTTAAAGAGATGCCCTAATGTTCGCAAGTTGATTCACTACATAAGAGTTGCATTTACTAATAGAAATTGAAAACACATAAGTCATATTAAGTCTAGAGTAGCATAACATTTTTATCTAAACCAACAAACTTTCTTATGAAGCTCTACCTTCTACAATAAAAACAAAAATAAAATGTACCACTTTGTAGATGATCAAATGTGAAGGAAGATGGAAATATATTGTCCAATACAAACCCTTTCAGCCTAATACCAACTATATATGGTCGGTCTCACGACTCAATTCTCCATGAAATCCATTACATAATTAACCAGCTAAAGAATCCAGCATAATGTTCACCCCAATTTATAGATAAATTCTTGAAAAATTACTACTATCCTTTAGGCCTAAGCCTCTGATATTAACTTAAAGTTGAGCCTTACCAGTGCTTCCATCGTTGTTTTAAGTGAACATCTATTATGTGTTTTTAAGTAGTAGATAAGACAAACAACCAAAGAACCTTCTCTTCAAAAAATTTCATCCAACAAACTTTCCTGTTTCTCCCAACTCAAGCACTAGGAGGGCGGCCTTCCTATCACTTCCACAATTTAAAGAACAACTTACACTCACAAAACTCAAGCCAATATCCATCAAACCCCAAACTAATGTTCTTGATTATGTTGCATGGATGCTATATAAGATAATAAGCAACGCTACCCTATTATTGTTACAACAATATGAAGTGTGTGCTTTAGAAGCGAAGAGCAAGAGAAGCATATATAAGCTTTACTTTACCCAAAAGCCTTTGACAACACTAAAGTACGCTTTGATGCAGTGAGGTGCCCCCATCATTTATAAAGCACAAAGAGTTATAAGCACATGCATCAATTATACAAGAAGTTTTTAAGTATTTTAACCCTATGAAATTTGCTTCATTTCATTTTACATGGTTACTTATATGTTTAGATAGTCTTATTGGCATGTTGCCTCATAATTCATCTTAATTTTTACATTTCTGATTAAAGTATTAACCGCTTGACAATCACTTAATGAAAATCAAAATGTACTATGTGATATAATTTTTTAATTTCTTCGTGATTCATAGATTCTTTTCAAAATATTTGTGAAGGAATGATATGATTCGTTGCTAAGTATAAACTTTGAACTGCTATTTTTATATGATTTACCCTCCATATTATCTAGTGCATGTCCCGAAAATATCAATCTAATTTGATTTATTAATGTAGGATGATAGCATATGATTTAATAAAATTGATTTTATGAAAATGCTGCTACGTAAATTATTACTACACACAACTAAAACTGGAATGTGCTTCAGAAAAGTAAAGCACCCTTACTTTACACTTTTTGCTTTCGAGCAAAAAGGCTCATTTCTAATTTAGTTACGTGTTACACTTTGAAAACATGCTTCTCCCTTGTCCCGACGCATATCACACAATGTAAATAAATAATCTAGATTCCCGATTGCATGTTTTATCTTAAGATAATTATGGCAGCATTACCATAAAAGCTTGCATAATTCCTTACAATAGGTCTCAACTACACCCATGAATTAGATAAAATTAGGTCTAGCATTATATTATTATGTGCCATTTCAACAAAATGTATAGTCAATTTTCAATTTTAACTGTAGATTCTTGTCTAAATAAAACAATATTATGCAGATGCAAATCAAAATAAGATCATTAAAGTTGTCATGAAACTTATAGATTTATTTTTCTTGTAGAAATGCTCTCTTTCTAAATTATGAACTTCTGTTATACCAATGCTCAGGCTTCGTTTGGCATATATGCCCAACTACAAGGAAAAACTATGATAAATCCTGCATTTCAGCTTGAAAAGAAAAATAAATAGAGCTAAAACTTAAGTCATTTTACATTGAAAGGACAACATCCACAACTCTGATTGATAATTTTCAAACTATAGTTATTAATTGTCAGATCTAGCTATATAAAAACAACTTAATCAAGAAGTTATGTGAAACCATCTAGTAAATCCTGGAAAGAGATGAGACAGGGAGAACCTGAGTGATAAATAAGCATTCTTACCAATCAAATAAAGTAGCTACGCTGACAAATGGTCCTAAATATAAAGCAAGGAAAAGAAATGAGAGAGGGAGAACCTGAGTGATAAACAAACATTCTTACTAATCAAATAAAGTAGCTACGATGACCAATGGCCCTTATTATAAAGCAGGGAAAAGAAAAACAGTAAAAGATACCTTTTTGGCTCTTGCCGCTGCCAAATCTGTACTGCTTGTCTTAGAAGACTCAATCTCCTCTTTGGGCACAAGTTCAAGAGCCTCACAGATTGAAATAAATTCCTACAATTATATAGGGAAATTTTGAAGAAAATGAATGGATAGAAAGATAAAAAATTGGCACAAAAGACGATGAAAGATGGGATTATAGCTCTTTCTTGTGTGCCCTAATAAGCAAGTAAAGCACTAACTTTCAGGCTCTGCCCTCACTTTAAATGGGAAAAATATTTAAAGGATTAACCTTCAATTGAACACGCGACATTTTAAGAATCTCAATCCTGTCCTCTTTTGCAAGTTTTTCTGTCAGTTCTCCAAGATAAAATGGGACCTAGCAGCAATCCATCAATAAATCAAATAAATGTTAATTAACAATATGGATATTACAAATGATATTTCAGTATCCTATCACAAAAACAGCCTCTTATAATTAAATATATCACACGAATAGGAGTTTGAAGATGCATGGCCATCAAAAAAATAATTTGGCAAAAGCACCCTAAAGAAGAGGGCAGTGGCAGAGCAAAGGCCCCTAGTTGACGGGTACATAATAATAATTAACATATACCCTATGTACAAGAATAGAGCAATGATACTCCTACAAGAAAAAGGGGTGAACTAAAAAAATCTGAGCAAATATAGTGAATAGACTGTTTTATCTCTATTTTTATGATCGTTGGTGCAAAAATTAAGCTATTTTCTTCATTCAATTTAATCAGAATTTTAGTAACAAAGAGTAACTCAAAAAGTATGCCCCCAATTTTCAGGATGGCGGTCACAGGCTTGAGTCTAGCCTTTGACCAACTTCAAACCTTGTTGTTAGTCTTACAACTTTGATGTTAGTCTTGATCTTCTTAGTTAATATATTTTATTAATTTAATATTTGATTAGGAGGTTTAAGCCTCAAAATGACTGAGGCTTACATCTCGTCTTATGGAACTCTTAAGTTAGATGCTTAATAGACAATTTTGGTGCAGATGAAAGAAAATGATGGTTATATTGAATTGCACAAGAAAAAGAATATGACACATAATACTAACAATAATGGTGGACATCGAGTCACTTAGCAGATGTGGCATAACACCATAGAGACAATGTTGAATAATCTAATACGCTGTCAAGTCACTCAACAAGTTGTTGCATCACAAAATTAGGATTACATCACAAATTCCTCGAGGATTTCAACTAAATTCCTCATCAGCTAAGAAAAATCATAAGTTTCATTCACCACCAGCATAATCAAATTTCATGGCCATGGTTACTACTTAAAATGTAGGCTTCATTCCTAATGAAAAATAAGAGAGTACCAAATTAATCCAAAGTGACAAAAGATATTAACCCGTGACAATTGACATAAGCATAAATATAACAAGAGAATGAAAAATAGTAAAATATTTTTTCCTATATATGTTCGCATCTTATTATGGACTTGCATCATAAATATAAAAAATTAGCATATCACCACTTCACTACTATGGAGAATAAAAATAACAATATACTTGAAAGACCCAAAACAGTGAAAATGTGGCAATCGTCTTAAAGCGTTGTCTATTCTAATTGTTATTGCTCACAACAGTACATCTGTCAAGATTCTTTAATAGCTAGAGGACGACTCCTTGGGGAAACTAGAATGGTAGAAATTGCAACAGAGGATGCTAAAGCTCAATCTAAGAAAATATCTACAAAAGAAAATAAATAAAAATCCTCATTAGCACTATTTTATCACCACCGATTCATGAAAGATAGCTATGGAGGTTTCATACGCCAAAACTAAACACATCAGTAGATTATACAGTTTCCATCAACTTCTACACTTATGTTTTATAGTTTATTAAATAAATAGGCAGCTAAGTCTTCCATTTTCAGCACATAAGATGCATGCTTCAGGTCCTGTATATTGATCATCATAACCAAAATATTCAATAATATAACTGCTCCCCCATCAAGCACAACTGACGGATAAGACAACAATCTTACAAAGAGAGAAAAGGAAAATAACACATTTCCACATATAACACACCAATAAACAAGCAGAATATCATCGTTTTGACAAAAATCTCACAGGACATTACATTAAATGAGGTCATACCAAGATGTATTTCAGATTCGTGGTGCTAACGTCATCTTTAGTCTCGTTAGACGAGAATAGCCCGAGCTTGCTCACCATCTCATCACAACGACGCAGCAAATCAATCCCATTTTTCAGTTGTTCCTAAATAAATCCAATAACAAAAAAATACGAAAAAATTAAAATACGAGGAACGTATAACCTTTCTTTTGAGCAGGGTCATGCTAGGGCAAGAGCAACAATCACTCATTTCCTTGACCGGCAGTACAACTTCACAGCCTGGTTATGAGGATTCTAACGAAATTTCATAAAATTAATAATGCATCCTTACCTGATCCACTGAGGAATCCGATGCTGCGTAATATATTTTCCTAGCCAGCTCGAAGAGCGCAGGGAGGGACATCTCCTCCATCTTCACGTCCGCCATGAGATCCAAACCAAAATTCAATTGATCTGAGCCCTTATAAAACCACGACGAATAATAACACTATGAAAACGAAGAGCAGTACGAAGTTGAATTCGATCCAAGAGGAGAAAATAAAATGTTCGATCGAAGCAGAAAAACTGATGGGCTGTTTGGTAGCGGGTTTTCAGTCGATTTACGCTAAATCCTGCCAAACGCAAAAACAAAAAACAAAAAAATAAAAATCGCCCCTGTCAATCAGCATCCGTCCTAAATACGGATTTAGCATTTTTTCACCCTTAATCCCATAATTCGGAGGATTTGAGGGATTTAGTGATTTACGGACTACGGGATTTACGACTCGCACGGCGTCCTTGTCGTGGAGAAAGATGGTTACCTTCGCAACGAGCTTTAGGGCGAAAAAAATGCTTCTTTAGCGATTCTTCCAACACAACTTCACGCTAAGGGGCTCTTTAGTATCGGATTTATCGTGGGATTTAAGTCGGACGCTAAATCCAGCCAAACGGGTTTTTGTGCACGCGTTAAATCTCGGGATTTCATAAGTCGCGAATTTAGGGATTTACAGCTTAAATCCCGGATTTACTAAATCCCTCTGTTCGGTGGATTTAACGGGATTTAGCCAAAGAAGCGCGCGAAAGAGAAAAATTTACCTTCACAGTCAGCGAAATCCCGTTCTTGCTTCCGATCAAAATGTCGTAACTTCCGATCCGACAGGAAGAGAAAGTCGTCGAAGGAGCGAAGTCGAATAGCTGAAGAAGCGACGCGTGCAATCTATACACCTCCTGCAAAGCAACGAAGCCGAACAGCAACGACGAAAAGAGAAGATGAAAGGCTAACCTAGACGCCTCTAAGTTATTATTATTGACTAACTTAATTAATATAATGTAAATTAATTAAATAATTAATTGTATGATTAGTGCATAAATTAATTAATTAATTTAACTTAATTGTATAATTAGTAATTAAATATTAATATAATCAGCTTAATTAATATGTATATGATAATTAAAAGTGTATATAATTAAAAATGTATATAATAATTAATGAGTAATTTGTATTTAACATGTTATTAAATTCATAACATATTAATTTTTATTTTTAATTATAAATTTATTTTTAATTTATAATTATCTTTTTCATATTTAAATCTCTAACTGTCATAAATCTTGAAATCTGTTACCAAACAGTTTCTTAGATTTTAACGGATTTAACATTTGGCATTTTGGCATACCAAATTGTTTTTAGGATTTAACTTATTTCGAATTTACTAAATTCAAATTTACAGGATTTATTAAATCCCACTAAAGTTAAATCTCACTTGTTGTCAAACAGCCCCTAATCACACGAGCTTGAAGCAGCCACGAATTACTGGCAATGAGAAAAAGTAACATCAAAGGAGAAATGGAGAACAGGAGAAGATTAATAAAGAAAACCCTAAAGAGCCTCCATCTAAAAAAGTAATTAATATAATTTAAAATAATTATAGTATAATTAGTAAATCATAAAAGGCCTCTACAATATTAATAATTAATTAAAATAATTAAATAATTAGTAGTATAGTAAGTAGTCTAATTAAGTAATCTAATTAAGCTTAAATAAATAATTTGTTGTATAATTTGTAATTAAAAATGAATATAATTAGCTTAGGTTTTAGAATTTGAAATAGAATAATTAATTATATAATTAACATTGTAAATAATTTTTAAGCCAGATCGTCCAGGACGATGTAAATATCGTCCTGGCCGATTTGAGTAAAAATAGAAATTCTAAGTCTTTAAAGTGTGTGTGTGTGCGTAGGGTTACTTTGCATTAGTCACACCAAATATTACAATTGACTCAAGAGGGAAAAAATAAAATTACAGACTGACTCAACCCTAATCTACCCCATCTTGAGCTGATTCTGATTTTCGTCTGATCTTTGGGTCCTGAAAAGTCAATAGAGAAAAAGGCAAGATTTGTTTGCTATCATCAAAATCATAATCCAAAAATAGATTTGTAACACTATTCGTCGACAATCGCCGAAATTCTTCCCAGCCACTATCGGACTTTTATATGTTCATCGACCACCAATAGAGTTCTTCCCAACCACTACCGGACTTCCACTTCTTTGTGGACCATCGTAATACTTCTACATGTTCGTTGACAACCGCTGAAGTTTTTTCAGACCACCGAACACCGTTGGACTTTTCCCTGTTCGTCGACCACCAACGGACTTCCACACATTCACCGACCTTCGCTAGAGTTCTTCTTGAATGCCGCTAGACTTCCGCTTGTTCGTCGACTACCACCAAACTTTCACCCATTCTTCGACCACCTCCAGAGTTTTGCACGACCGACGTCGTACTTCCACCAGCTCGTCAATCACATACGGTCCTTCCGACCATCATCGCTCTCCAACTACAGTCCTTCTAACATCCCTCTCCAACTACGGTCCTTCTTACCTCTTTCGCCCGCCGACTACGATCCTTCCAATTACCGTCGCCCATTGACTACAGTCATTCTGACCATTATCGCTCAAATACGGTCCTACTGCCTCCGCCATCCGCCAACTATGGTCCTTCCAATGACCATCGTCAACTACGGCCCTTCTAACCTCCATCTCTCGCAGATCACGGTCTTTCCGATTTATATTGCTTGCCAACTACGGTCCTTTTGACATCCTTCGCCCGTCGGTCCTTCTAACCACTGTCTCCCATTGACGACGATCCTTTCAACCACTGTCGCCCGCCGATTATAGTTATTCCAACCATAGTCTCTAAACTATGATCATCCTAACTGCTATCGCCCGCAAAACTACGGTCAATCCAACGATCAATGCCAACTACGATCCTTCTGACCTCCATCTCTCACAGATTACGATCCTTTCAACCATTGTCGCCCACCGACTAGAATCCTTCCGACCATATAATCTTTCCGCCCACCATCGCTTGACTACAATCTTTTCGACCTTGCCCGACTCCGATCCTTCTAACCACCATTATCCGACTATGATCCTTTCGATCTACATCGCTCGCTGACTATGGTTCTGCCGCCAAACAAATATATCAACACTGATTATTCCAACTCTCACCATATAATGCACTCTATATGATGTATATTTGTTATATCGATCCAAGACCTTCCTCCTAAGGAATGGCCTCATATGTAATCAATTGCAAAACACCAGTGGATTCATTCAAATTAGGCCAGACCTCGTGATTTTTCTCATTTTTCAGGGGTTTTTACGTAAAAATTATGGTGTCTCTTATAAACGCTATAATCATACTCTTTTATTTGTTTGTGTGCTCGATCTTCATACAAATCTAAGATGCTAAATTATACCTCTCTCTTCGGCTACAAATTTTTCATGATGCAATAATAATTATTACTTATTGAGGGTAATTAAGATAGAAATTAATTAGTAACTTGCATTTAACATATAAATTAAATTCACATCACATTAAATTTGCGGAGAAATCACAAGAAATCTTAATGGGTTGTATTAAATAATTTTATGGCTTGCTATAAATTGTTATTGAGTTAATATTAACATAGATTTCATTTGGGCAGCTTTCTTACTGCCTTGTTTTTTATAACAATACTACAATTTCTGTCTAGTCACTACTTTTTGTCGCTTTTAAAATTTCTTTGTGCTACGAAGATGCTTTTCATAATAACTTTAACAAGTTATTTTCTCTATATCAATTTTACGAAGTACTAAGACAGTTATCCAGAGTGATTGTGAAATAGATGTGGATATTATTAGTATAATTCAAGTTAGATGGTTGAAGTTGAGGAATGCATCAGACTTGTTGTGTAACAGAAAAGCTCCCCTGAAACTTAAGAAAAAATTCTATAAGATGGTGATTAGACCTTTAATGCTTTATGGTGCAGAATGTTGGCCATTAAAAGAGAAGCATAATATTAAGTTAATTGTTGCAGAGATGTGGATGCTCATGCGGATGAGTTGCTTTACTCTCAGAAATAGGATACGAAATGAGCATATACGCGAAATTGTTGGAGTAGTTCCAATTGAAGATAAGATTAGAGAGAGTCGACTTAGATGGTTTGGTCACTTAAAACGTTGGCCTTCCGATGACCCGATTAGAAAAGTAGATATATTAGATTTGACTTGTGTTTAGAAAGGTAGAGGTAGACCTAAAAAGACTTGGTTAGAAAATATTAGAAAAGACCATTCTTTATTAAATTTAAATGAGAATTTAATTTTTAACAGGGCTCAATCAACAACAACAAACAAGAAAGCTATTTGAAATGAAGCCTTATTTTCAACACATAATACCTAATTGCTTCTTGCCATTAGGAATTTGCTTTGTGACATTTTTAGCCATCATGTTAAACTTCTATGGGCAAATTATAATTATGTGATCTATTGTATAATAGCTCCACATCTCAACTTTTATAATGATGATAATTCTACTTATAATTTTCGTAAAAAAAGTGAGAGAGAAATTTTAGAATTTCAAGGATAATTTATTGGAAAAGAAGTGTTCATCTTATTTAAAGATCATTTGATACTTATTAGAGTGCAAGAGGACGAAAGGCAAGGTTTTTCCAATTTTTAATTTATATGAAAATTTCTTAATGATTATTATTTCTAATGATCTTAGGGAAGTTATTAAGAGTAGGAATTAAAATTTTTCATAGAATATTATTTTTCCTAATTTCTAATTAAATTTAAATCAAAAAATAAAAAAGTCATACTTATTAATTAAATGATTGGGAAAATTTGAAATGCTAAAATAAAGAAATTTATTAAAATTTGATTTCTAAATTTAGAGCTTTAGGTTAAATTCAAAATTTTAACTAATTTAAGGTCTAATTACAAAAGGGCAGCAAAAAGATAGCAAATCTTCAATTAGTAGGATATTTATTACGCTTTTACTGCCCTTACGTAAAAACACAGCAAATACTCAATAAAAGTGCATTCATAATTGCATATTTACTGTCATTTTGCTGAGTATTTATAAAAACGCATTAAATCCGGACGGTTCTCACCGTCCGGTCTCCCGGTCTCCACAGACAATAAATTCTCCTCATTGAGGGGCATTTTCAGATGAACAATTTACTAAATAATGAAGTATTCGAAATGTATTTCGAACTCACCCAAACCAAATTGAATAGTTAAAAGTGCTTGCCCTTGTTGCTTGCACCCATTTTTAACAAACAACACAACAATTTGAAAAAAAAAAACTAACTCAATCTTCAACAATAACAACAACATCAAATCTTTATCCCACTACGTGAAGTCGGCTATATATATGAATTTTTTTTCTCCATTATATCCTATTAAAAGTCAAATTCTCGTTTAAATCTAATAGAGAAAAAAATTAACTCAATCTTCCTTCCAATGAAATTCAAATTGGGAGAGAGTCAATAATGAATATACAATCCAACAACATATGGAAAATAGATAATCTCTGTCATCAAATATGCACATTAAAGGAACAATCAAACAAATTCATTCATTATTGCCTTGAAATGAATTAATTACTTTACTTCTAATTCTTCTTCTCAGCAACAGTATCTTCAGAAGCCTTCTCTTCAAATGGGGCTACCACCACCTCCGCTTTGACATCCTCTCCACCTGCGCTCGTTTTTTCTGCAATATCGAGATCATAACAACGGTAATGATATCGTTTAACATTCGATCGAATTATCTTTAAGAAAGGCGAATCATTAGATCAATCAAATAACTGTGAAATTCATATAATGTCTTAAATTTATAATTGTGAAAAGAAAGGGGAAACTGACTAACCATCTTGAGATCCGGATCCTTCAGCAACGAGCTTTTTCGCCTCTCCATCACTTACAATCACAACCACCTTCTTTACCACCGAAGAATCTTCAACTTCCGAGATAGAATCAGCCAGCGAGTGATCATCATCCTTGTTCAGAACATTTCCAGCAGCAATAGCTTCCTCGTCCTTCCTCGACGAGAAATAGCGGTCCGGCGAGTCTTTGGAGATGAGAGGAGCCGCCACCACCTCTTTCGTCTCAGAAGCAGCAGAATCAACCGGCGGCAACGAGGTATTCGACGGTAAAGGATTGTTTAATTGAAGGGATTTTGCGGCGACTGTGTTGCCGACGGCGACCTCGTCCTTGGAACCACCGCACCCCATGGTTTGAGGAAGAGAGAGATCGGCGGGGAATTGAAGAAGGATTTGGGGAATTTAAGGGTTTTGGAAGGGATATAGATTGGTTTTGTTTATATGTTTTGGTGATGATCTGTTTATGGGGAGAATGAGAGGATGGCTTTGGATTTGGGGTTATTTCTGTTCAACAATTTACTTATTTTTCACTATTATTAGGAAATGCCCAATGGCTCTAATCAACATGATATTCTAATATTATAATTTAAAATTCAAAATATTTATATAATGTTTAAAAAATTAAATTAAAATGGAATAAATTCTTTAAAAAATTAATTTATTTCATTAGGTCAAATGACAAATTCACTTTCTTCACATAAGTCAAATCTACTCTCGCCACTATTTTATGGGACCAAACCATCTAAGACAATTTAGTAATCTTATCTGCCACTAAAGCTACACCAACATTTTCACTTATATGTTCATTTTGTATCTCGCTACTAAGAGTAAATCCACTCATCCACCTAAGCCTCCTCATCTCTACAACACTTAATTTAATATTAAACACATTTATTAGCATTTGAGAGAATTAATCTTAAATTCTCTTTATTTTCATTTTGAATATACAATTATTAAATTTAAATAAAAAATTAGCTAATAAAAGTTCACAACACCTATCATTACTTAGCTTGATTAGTGAAACCCCCCAAATCATACTTGATTCCCCTCAAATGGCAGCGCCACTTGAGGGCGAATTATTGCGTCCGGTCACCGGATGTCCGGACATCCAATCCGGTAATGCCACATCACCCAAATACACTGGGTCCCGGTGCATTTTGGTGACATGATGACACCGGATTGGTGTCCGGACGAATCCGGACACAATAATTTGCCCCTCTTAAGTGAAAAGCCCAATCAAGTGCAAGCTATGATGTTTTTGGGATGGGGTGCAATCAGCCGTGCCGCCAAGCGCACTTTTGAAGGTGGCAGCGGATGGAATCCCCATTCCCAAAAATAAATAAATAAAAGTTCAGAACTTGAATCATCCAGAAATTATAATGCCATATTAAGTAAGAGAAATGCGAATAGAATTAAACTCAACCAGTCTGCAAGATTGCTTCTGTTTCACCATTCAACCATTCATACAAGCAAAATATGAAATACTGACAAGACAGATATAACAAAAAAGTTCAATAGTTCAAGAAAAAGGAACATAACAAACTGATTTGAAGATCTAGAATATCGAAAAGGCTTAGCGATATCGGCGGAGGGACAAGGTCTGGTTCCTCTTCCAGGTTGCTCGGCGAGAAGGCCTGGCCTTGTGATGAAGATGGCCCTTGCCGCGAAGACCCCTGTACTTTTTCCCGGCAGAGGTCAGTCCCCGAAGCTCTCTGTGCTTGTGAACTCCATTGCAGATCCAGTTCACCCTAGGGTCATTCCGAATGGCATTGTGTGCAGGATCAACAAGGATTATTTCAAAGTATTTGTATGTGGAATCCTGCACAGTTCAGTTCAAAATTATTAAGGAAATTATGAGTGACGTTGGAGAATTTTTGGTTTCTTACCTCATTGATCCAGTAGGAGTTGAGAACCCTCAGGCCACCGAGCTTTCTGCCAGCTCTCTCTTCAGCTACTGAACGCTTATTGCGCTGGAACTTCAGTTGGGTAATACCTTGGTTCTTGGGCTTTCCATAGACTATACCCTTTGGAACTGGCCTCTTGCGGCCTCCGCGCCTCACACGAACACGGTAGATCACAAAGCCCTGCAACAAAAATGTTATAAAACTCACAAAATCATTCAAAAACTCTATCTTTCTCAACAATTACACAACAAATTCTATAGATAATTACATGATCATAAAATTAACAGGGCTTAAAAGCATCTAGATTATCCTAGAACTATTAAGTTTGCCATAAAACTAATCCAGTAAATCTAAAGACAGACTTCTATAAATTTTGCACAAATGCTTGAGGATTCAATGTGTATGAATATACAATATGAAATTTTAAATACATTTCTTTGCCACAGCTACTTGCGCAAAGTACCGCATCTGTCCAACATCAATTGCCTTCATTTACCTTGCAACACATTTACCTTTTTATCATATCGCATATGGTAATTCTTACCCAACTTGATGACTTGGGCTTCATTTGGGACGACTTTCTGTTGCTTCTTAAAACAACTTTTTAGTGCAAGAAAGCTTTAGGGGCTGTTTGGCAACAAGTGGGATTTAACTTTAGAGGGATTTAATCCGGATTTAGTAAATCCAAAATGTGTTAAATCCTGAAAATTGTTTGGTATGCCAAATATTAAATCCTGAGAAATTGTTTGGTAACATATTTCAGGATTTATAGTAGTTAGGGATTTAAAAATAAAAAATATAATGTGTTATAAATTTAATAATATGTTAAGTATAAATTACTCATTAATTATTATTTACACAATTAATTATATATTTAATAATAGATATATTAAATTATATTAATTAATCTAAGTATATTAATATTTAATTACTAATTATACAATTAAGATAAATTAGATAATTAATTTATGCACTAATTATACAATTAAATATTTAATTAATTTACTTAATTATCAATAATTTAAATTATATTAATTAAGTTAATCAATAATAACTTTTTAGAGGCGTCTATGGTTTGTCTTTCATCTTCTCTTTTCGTCGCCGCTGTTCAGTTTCGTTGCTTTGCAGGTGTATAAATTGCACGCTTCGCTTCTGCGGCTCCTTCGTGGCTGTTCTACTTCGCTCCTGCGACGACTTTCTCATCACCTGGATCGCAAGTTACGACATTTAGATCGGAAGCAAGAACGGGAGCTCGCTGGCTGTGAAGGCAACTTCCTCCCTTTGGCGTGCTTCTTCCGATAAATCCCATGGGATTTACAAAATCCGGCTACCCCTCGGATTTACTAAATCCTGGATTTAAGCTGTAAATCCGTAAATCCGGGATTTACCGAATCCCGGGATTTAACGCGCGCACAAAAACTGTTTGGTTGGATTTAGCATAAACCCGACTTAAATCCCGCGGTAAATCCGATACCAAACAACCCCTTAGTCTAATTATTCATTTGAATTACATCTCTCATGTTTTTGGAACCACCAAGAATATAATAACAATAACATCAAGCTTTTATCCCACTACATGTCCTATTAAGAGTCAAACTCTATTTAAATCTAATAAAAAAAATATCATTTTTAATAATTTCTAATACTCTCTAACTATTCTTGGAACCACCAAGAATATTTAAAAAAATAGTAAGAACTTAAATGGAATAAAATATGATGAATTAAACTTTAGAAGCAACTTAATATACGCACACACAATAATAATTCTAAAAAGTTAACTATCAGTTCATTTAAATTTCATATACAATGTTTAAATGGTATACTATTAATCTTTCTGAAACTCATAACATTTGAGCTAAATAAAATTTAAGAAAATATAAGAGCAAAGAAATTTAAGAGCGCATTTAATACTTCTAAATTTGAAAGTCAATACAAAGCTTGATTTGCTTCATAATTTCAATAATTTACATTCAATGATTAGATCATAAAGAAAATCAGTCACAGTAAATCAATTGATTGTCTTTTTATAAAACTATAACCAGAACAGTAAAGTAATATGGTTCCGAGTTAAGCACAACAAGGAGGCAATAAACAAGCAAAAAATGTCAAAATATTCATAATAAACCTAACAAAAGAGAAATGTGATTATTCTAAAGGGAGTGAGAATAACATCTAATAAAAACAAGGTAGCAGGATTTAAACCAGATAATTTGAGCATATACAACAAACGCAGAACATGAACCCCTTTAATGCAGAGCTTAAGGAAGAACAGTCAATGGTGTAGGTATATTCATGAAGCTAAACCAAAATAGATGTGGTGAGACTACTAAGAATAAAAGATTATTTATAGAGCTAAGCAAAAATAAATGCCCGATACATAAAATCAAGATCCCATCAATATCAAGCAAATTTCTAATAGCAAAATCAGTAGATGCAAAGAAATGATAACAGACAATTCAATGGAGAGATTGAAACTGACAAGTTAAATTCAATTATCAAATGAATGAAGGCAGCAGTAAAGTGTGACCAGAACTTCATTGTAATGGCCTAAAAAAACACAAAACAATAAATGAATAAACCTCTAATCAATTAAGGAAATGCAGCAATCAGATAAACAACTAATTTTCAGATAACTAAACAACACATGCCAAAGCAAGCAAAACAAGTTCAAATCAAAATGAAGAATATAAACCATTCATATTATCATTTATTTCTCTAAAAAATCACATATGAGTTCACTCAAATCTAACTTCATGAGAGCTCATTCAGAAACTTTCAGAAACAAATGGGTGATAATTCACATAGTATACTAAATATCATACGAGTTCATTTTATATTGAATTGAATGTGGAATATTATAAGCATATACCTACAATGAAAACAATAACTACTTAGCAACTAGAGAAGAAAACAAGATTAATAGTTCAAATGAGCCATTTGAGTCAGGATAATCAAATATGGCAAAAGAATGAACCCACTCATAGCTAGCCACTAAGAACAATAACAATAGGTATTTATGGGCCAGATGCAAGGACTGGGATCAGAATTGTCATATAAAGCACATATTTGATTAAGGGTCAACTCCACATTTATTAAGAGTCAACTCCAAAACACAGCATAATGGGAGTTTCATTTTACAACTAGCTAATCAAATAATGTGGCTAAAGGAAATCTTGACCATAATGCAAATAAAACACTGAAATGAGAGAAAAGGAACGCAAGTCTCATGATCAAAATGGGAATAACACGTTAAAATAAAATCAACTACTAACATTCTACTAAAATATAGCAGTTAGGCAAATATAATGATAGAATAAAGCTATAAATTCCAATCTTATAGATTTCTTCAACAATAACTCTTCAAAATGATAATTAATCGGATAGGAATGTTATTGCCACAATCAAATCACTTCGCTCTCCTCAATGGCACAATAAAAATAGATACCAGACAGGTTAAATTCATCTTAAAAGGGGCAAAAAAATAGTCCGCCTAAACCAAAACGACTCCTTTACATTACATTTCACGACATATAATGAAACATTGACCATTTTCACACGCATAAGAGCAATAAACTTCCAACGAATTTCAACAGTGCAAAAAAAACTAATGAGTCGAACAAAAAATGCAAAAGTTAATAAGAATAAACACCTGCTTGGCCTTGTAGCCGAGGCGGCGGGCCTTATCGGGGCGGGTGGGCCTGGTGAGACGAACGATGGCGGGAAGCTGACGGTACTCCCAGCAGCGAATTCTTTGCAGAAATCGCATCACATCACTCTGCTTCTTTCTCCATAGCTCGGAAACGTACTTGTACGCACCTAATAGATTTCAATTCGGCAAACACGAGAAAACCGTCTTACAATATCGCAAAAGTTACAAAACCTTAACGACCATAAGTAAACCAAAACTCGAAATATAAATTTACGCAAAACAGAAACTGCAATGAAAGTAGATCTGGGGATTCACAATCTCGAAGCTTTGATCCGGAAAAAAAGCTATGAATTTCAGCTTACCCATGGTCGGAGGAACCTCTGCTGCAGGCTAACGGGGTTGCCCAAACGAAGCGGCGCCTTTCTGAAGAACAGCTAGGGTTTTGAGAGATCTTATAACGAGGCGAGAAAGCGCCTCTTTTATGAAATTCTGTAGAAGAAATTATTATTTGCAGCCCATACCCACGGAACTGAAAAAAAAAAAAAATCAGTTTTACATGACAATGGTCATATGTACACTACACAATTAATACTAGTTTAATTTTTATTGCTATAAATAAAAGTAGGCCATAATTTCATAATTTATATTGATAATATTAGAGGTGTAGAATAAATAAAATAAATTATTTTAATTTTTCTTTTATTTTTTTGAAGTTAAACGAATTTGCTTAGAGGATTCTAATATCTAAAATATTCATTTTTTTATAAAATTCAAATTCACCAGTAATTATGTAACTTTCAAATATAGGGAATCTGTGGCCCTTAACTTTTAATGATCAGCCAACCTCGTTGTCTCTAATTTTGACCATGAATGATAGAGTGATAGACTGTATTTTATTTATCAACAACAACAATGACATCAAACATTTATCCCACTATATGGAATCAGCAACCTGAATCATTTTTCTTCATTGTGTTATATTAAGAGTTAAATTCTCATTCAAATCTAATAAAAAAAATATCATTTCTAATATTTTCTAACCAAGTTTTTATTGTTTATTATTTTTTAACAAAAAAAAGACTTGTATATTTTATTTTATAAATGACACTAACAAAATAAAATGCAATGCATTTATGTTACTCTATATTTAAAATGCCATACTTTTTTGCAATAAAATGTATTTATATTGGCAACAAAATTGCAATGTATTTCTAAATAGCCCTTAGTTTTTTTTTTTTCCATTTCAAGATTCCTATAAAAAATTATGATATCTCTTAACAAGTTTTTTTTTTATTGTGTACTCTTTGAATAACATTAAGATGATAAACATAAACCCAACTCTCACTCTATCGTTGTACATCCATGTATCTCAACGACCTAGTTCCATTATCATCGAGTCGATTTGAGACAAGTTGGCAGAAAAGGGGAGGCAACGCTCTAGATCCTCAACATAATCAAGGGTGCATACAAGTTGCCCACCTGCGAGGCCCACCCAAAATGTCCATGTGCCCAAAATTTCACCAACCATGAGGCCTATTTGCCAAGGGGTCTACTCATCCAATCGCAAGACCAACCCACATCATCTCAATAATCATTTGCTCAAGATTGATAATAACTCGTCAACGGCTAACCAAAGTCGATGATTTTATCTTAGGATCGACCGCCCACCTAATCAGAGACTTTTGCTAATAAGACACCTAAATGATTGCTCATGTGTCGTGGGGGTCAAGGGGCAGTGCCGCTGTGGGGGTTTCCGGGGCAGAGAGCCCAGAGCAAATTTTGGTTGTAAGGATATTTTTGAATTATCTTTACTATTTCTCTTTGTATTTGTTTCATTGTTCCCTAACAATAACACCTCTACACAATGTGTTTAATTATGTTTGGGGCAATTGCCTAAAGATCATATTATTTTAATACTTTTAGGTGGAAAATTGCCTAAAATCCCTTATAATAACCCCTCTACTCAATGCGCATAATTAATGTCACGACCCGACCCGATCCGGGACGGATCCCGCTCGCACCGGGCAACGACCCAACCTTTTTAATCCAGGATCTGGCTTTGGAATTTGGTTCTAAACTGAATCTTCCGAATATTTAACTCCAAACAATACACAAACACAGAACAACAGAGCTACTATAAGTCAC